TCCGATGGACAACATGCACCGTATGGGTCCTGGAACCGACAGCCATCGCCATGGTCTGGTGAAGAACTGACAATTCATAGGGTGGGGACCCAGGGATGTCCCAACTGGAAGCAATGAGGCAGTGAGGAGTCCAAGTCCAAATGAACGGAATCCAATGCTGATGCACGCACACAACACCCAGGATGGCAGTTGGCTTAAAGTCCAGACTTCGAATCCACTGGCTGATCAAAGAAGATGATGGGCGTTTCAAAGCTTCCGCACACAAGAGGGGGTCGATAACAGCCCAAGTAGGCTTCTGAGCAACACTGTGCATCTGCAACATGTGATACATCATTTCATCGTCAGCCCAAACAGTGCCTTGGTTGGCCAAGGTTTGCTTCCTCGCTTGGGTATCCATGGTTTGGGCCCGCAACGCATTCAGGAGAGGCAAATCCGGGACAGATGGTTCGGAGACCAACAGCAAACGTTCGGCACTGAGGCTGGCAAGGGGCTCAAGGGGAGCAACACAACCGTCTGAGGAACCTGCAGCAACAAATGACGGGGCACGCTCAACGGCATGTGGCGACTCGCCGGGGTCGGCTGGCTCGGCAGTCCATGGGACAGTAGGGGACACGGTGAACAGCACGTCAGGCTCGACCACAACACGAGGTTCAGAATGAGTAATCCACAGACACCTACCAGCCGCATGCTGGTCGACAGGCAAGTCCAAGCCAGAAGCACAGTCCAAGACACGAACATCATGATTTTTGAAGTCCAGCAACTCAAGCGTGGCAGTGAGGACAGCCGAGATGGTGTCTGCAGGATCAGCCAAACGCACAAGGTACGGAACAAGGTCAAAATCATGCACCACAGTAACCTCATGCGGACCACCAAGGTGACAAAATTGAGCCCACGGGGTGCACGACAAATCATCACCAGGGAGAGGCACATCCACCGGAGGCTCCGGCAGATCAGAGGCAGGGACAGGCATGAAGTCCAAACTATCGACAAGTTGGAGGACCTGACCTTTCAGCTGGTCGAGAATTCCAATGGGGTCCATCTCACTGTCACCAAGCAAGACATTGTCAAAATGACGCTGCAATTGGCTGGCAATCCAAACTGCATGGAGTGGGGACATCATTTGGCCAAGGCCTGCAACAACCAAGCGGAGATCTGCTGGCCAGACAATTTCGGGCACCCCATTCAACAAGCCCACTTCCGTAGGATGCAGGTGACGCAACAACGGCACAGAGGAATCCGATGCATTGCCCGTTTCAGGCATCGGGACCAGAACACCAAAAATCCCTTTGGACGACAAGGTTTCATGGCTAAATCCAAAATCCCTGCAACCGCACTTGCAACCAACAGCTTGACTTCCCCATGAGTGAAGAGCAGTAGGGCATTTTGAGTCCAGCTTGAGGAAAAGTTTTCCAAGGTTGGCTTCATACATGGTAAACTTCTCAAGTTCAGCACTGCTCAAAACCAGTTGGTCTAGTTCGGCCTGGGCAAGAGACAACGGACTGCTAAAGACATCACGAGGGACAGACGGATGCACGGATGCAACGAATGGCAGCAACTGTACACAACCGAGGAATGGTGCCGTGAGAACTGCCCACCAGCGAGAACGGCGTGAAACCCAGACATCTTCTAATCGCAGTGTGGTTTCAGCCAGCTTGTAACCACACTGCGAAGCGAAGGTGTCCACGAGGCTGCGGACCATCGAATTACTGCCAGCATCCTGTACACACTCAAGAATCACAGCAAGGGAACGGAGTCTGAATGCAACTCGGAGGGCTTTCGGAAGGGATGACGACCTTTCATCACGGGCTCCCTTTCTAGAGCCACCAGCAGAAAACGGCTGACACGAAAAACCACAGCTTAGTGTTGTCGGAAACGGATGAGCCTGATGAATTTGCTTCAGAACCTGAGTATCGCCGATGTCTCCTCGAATGGCCGGGATGTCTGGGTGAATCTCCTGAAATGCCGAAACAAAAGGTTCACACCAATCCACTGCTACCACTGTATTCATGCCAGCATGACTGAACCCCATCGTGCCGACCCCAATTCCAGCGCAGAGTTCAACCATGTTCCTGAGATCATCTCGGGTGCTGCGGCGATGAAAAATCACCTCACTCATGTCTTCGACCTGCAGTGTGAGAACAGGTGCCTTAGCTACAACCTGGGCTTTCAGTGCTGTCAAACTGAAGGCAGCTTCAGGCACAGCTTCAATTCCACCAACCATGACTCTAGTACCACATGGAAAAAGGGATCCAACCACCATGCCTTCAGCTGTGCAGACAAGATCGATGACCACTTCCACGTATGAACCAAGACCACAGGTGTGATCAAATCGCCAATCAATGGGGGTACCTGGATCTCCCCACAACTCCATGGCAAGCAAAACCGAATTGGGACAAATCGCTCACCCTCAGCAGGCGCCGCTCTCCCGCTGGCAGGGCTAGTGAGCCAGAGCTAAGTAAAAAATGTTTGAAACCACCAACCAGAATAGATTTGAATTGAATATATATATATATAGTAGATTCGTTTAAAGCTCTTATAGAATTGAATGGGATATATATTTTCTGTATCTGGGATTGAGATTGAATGGGATATGTTCATGAATTTTCATGGAATTGAATGGGACATTAATATGTATGTATATATATATAGACATATTCATGGGATTTGCTCTGGAGGTTGAATGGGATATGTGTTGAAAACGGGATTTAACATGGATTTATTCATGATGGGAGACATTAGAATCTGTAGATTCTGCTGGGATTTCATGGGATATACTGCAACAACATACAAACACCACAATCTGATGTTGTTGGGATTCAATGGGACACATCCCGGTTGGTAAAAAACATAACAAGCTGTTGAAATTGCGAATCTTAGATGCAGCCGCCTCCATGTAAAAAAAGAGCTGGTCAGAACGTATTCCCAAAAGCATTCGGAAAAGAAACGAAACATATCGAGTTACCCATCCAGTGTTTAGCCCGAGTTATATAAGGTATACGGTATCTCTGAAACACTATTCATATATTCATCAACTAGGGCTTTAAACCTGCTAGCAGTGGGGATTTTTGCAAACTTTTTCTGAAGTTCTGTAGCTGACATCCTCACACCTTGGAAAGTGCCACTAAGTCAACTGATCGGTCATCAATCCCATGGTTTAATCATGTTTGATATTGTTTGATCATGTTTAATCATGTTTAATCCACATGATTCAAAACATGTGTTGCTTGACAGGATAGGCGGGTCAGTTCTCCATATATCTTGCCAGGATCTTGGAGCCCTACACGCATAGCTGGTGATGTCAAGCACCACCGGATGGTCAGTACGAGACTACTAAATTGCTTCGAGAACATGGTTTTAGTTTCCCTTCAGGAATCAGATGTGGCAATGGCAAATAACTTTCAGAATCGCATGATGTATGTATATATATAGAGAGAGAGAGCGAGAGATTGGATATATATATATATAACTTTCATATATATATATATATATAACTTGCATATATATATATATAACTTGCATATATATATAACTTGCATATATATATATATATATAACTTGCATATATATATAACTTGCATATATATATATATATATGTATATGTATTATTATTCTTATATATATATGTATTATTACGGGCAAACACCTCGATTTGCCCGCGCTTGTCGGCGGCCATCTTCGTATGTGCTGAAAACGTGATAAAAATGGGAGTTGTTTGCATCATGGCTAACTTCATGTTGTATATCGGCACGCACAGCATAGGGACCTGTGCGAGTCTCTTACACATCATCATCATCATCATCATCATCAAACCCTTATTGAAGATCTTCAATTAATGTAGAAGTTTAACGGGGGTGGGAGAACTAAACCCTTATTGAAGATCTTCAATGAATGTAGAAGTTTAACGGGGGTGCGAGAATTAAACCCTTATTGAAGATCTTCAATGAATGTAGAAGTTCAACGGGGGTGGGAGAATTAAATCCTTATTGAAGATCTTCAATGAATGTAAAGTTTAACGGGGATGGGAAATTTATATTCCCTAAATACCATTGTTGATCTTCCCAATTGAATGTAAAGTCTAACGTTTGATATCCCCAAGTGTACAGCATAGAAGGGGTGTGGGCGAATCGGGGTGTTTGCGCGTATTATTATTATATATATATGTATTATATATATATATCATAATATATATATATATATGTATTATATATATATATATACATCATAATATATATTTATATATGTATATATTATACTAGTAATACTATACATATATATATATATGTGTTGTTGATTCAAAATAGATCGCAGGAATTGATGCCTTTTTTGGGCATCCCCCATGCCTGGACAAGTTCGATAAAACACAACAGGCCTTCGTAAACATATCTATGGTGACCTCCAAGAAATAGAAAACCATGCACAGTTGAAGGTAACCATTTGGATCCTGGAATTGATTCCTAACTGCTGTTTGGTTACTGTACTATAATTATAGTTAGTTATCCCATATTATCCCTGTAATTTCCCATATTATCCTTAATTACCCCCCATGAATTACAGTTACCATATGGGATAATAGTAATTATAACTAAATTCTATGATAACCATAATGGTAACTATTATAGTAACTATAATTAACTTAATTAACCCATAATAATAGTTATCCCATGATTATCCCATATTATGCTTAGTTACCGTACTATGATTATCTGGTTGGTGGTGCAATAACCATCTTGAAAAATGATGGAGTTCGTCAATGGGAAGGATTATCCCATATATTAAATTGACAATTCCAAAAATGTTTCAAACCACCAACCAGTCATATATCCTCATATATCATCATATATCATCATATATCCATGTTGATTATCAGTGATATAACTCTTGAAAAAGTCTTGGATTTCTTGCGAACCTCGATTTTTTTTGGGTAACTTGTTACTTAAGGTTGCTAGGAATCCTGGCTATAGCCACAAGCTGTATTAATCAACTTCCCAGGGCTCCACACAGCATCCACCGGATCATCTAAACCTGAGTTACCCATGAAAAAAAAGGTGGTTTAACTGGAAAATCACGATCGTGAAAAAAGGTTTCTATCAACTATCAATGGGCCATGATAGCTAAACTGGTAAACTGGTTTTTCGCCTACTCTGAAAAATGATGGACTGAACGTCAGTTGGGATGATGACATTCCATTCCCAACTGTTTCTGGAAAGTCCTAAAATTCCATGGTTACCACTTCAACCACTTACCCTTCGTTGTGCTCAAATATAGCTAATCCCCGAACGAAATGGAGCGATGGGATTCTGAATCATTAGATCTTGGATAGCCTCCGGACATCTTACCTGAGAGAACTTTGTGTGCTGTCGTAATCAATGGGAATTTCAGGAACCGATTGATTCGAGGTACCGACTCCATCTATTTTTGGCCTATTTTTCAGGCAATTTCAGGGAATATCCCCACAAAATATGGCCAAAAATATGGTACAGTACCTCTATTTTAGGATCCTGAAATTCCCATTGATAGTAATTAAACTTACTGGTGCTAAACGCAGGGAATGGGAATGGGAATGGAGGTTGCTGGGATGAGTATTTCTAGTGATGAAATGGATGGTAATTCTGGTGGTTTTTCGCCTACCCATCTGCAAAATGATGGAGTTCGTCAGTTGGGATTATGACATTCCCAACTGAATGGAAAAGTAAAAAAATGATCCAAACCACCAACCAGTAATTCAAGGGCAGCCCGGAAAACGACAACTCAATGACCCAGCTTGACAAATTCCGTACAAGTTCATGATGCTACGCTAACATCAGCAGAAAACAAGTCACGTGGAGAATGAGTGATTTCAATCGAATTCACCTGAAGTTGTCAGCTATCCCCAGCTACAAATCCCAACTCTCAATGTTGGCCCTTTAATTCGTGGCCAGAAAAACGCTTGAATCATCTTGAATCCAAATGATCATATGGCGTTCATTGGGCTTCCCCATATTTTTTGGTTTCCATAGTCATGGCGGTACCCCAATAGCTAGATGGTTTATAAGGGGAAAATCCTATTGAAATAGATGATAACTAGGGGTACCCCTTTTCTAGAAAACCTCCATGTTGAAATATATTGAACATGTTTCATGCTTCGCGGCCCACCTTGAATCATTGTCCCGTTTTTGCTGAAGCAAATAAAGTACAATCGCCACATGCACTACTTGAAGTTCCCTTATGTTCTTTTTTGAACTTTTTTGCCTGTGTTGTTGGTTAAACAAGGTCAAATAAATCAAATCTCAATTGTTTGGTGGCTAGAATCATGTCTAAATTCGGCTGTCATCCCATAAAATGACTCCGAACATACTGAGTACATACTGTGTGTATTAATCCCACGGATGGCCATCTCCGTTTTTTGGGACAATAAGACATGAACCATCGAAAATACCCCTATCCCATCGCATTGCTAGTTGCTTGATAATTTTCCCTAAAAAATATGGCAAAGTTCATATAGTTCAGAATGCGTTCATAATCCACAATAACTCAGGTACTATAACTTCCTAAAATGTTTTTGCCCCCCACCAGTTCTAAGTTGGTTTATAAACCCGTGGAAATATGTCATGAAATATAAGATGTAATAAGATGTTATAAGATGTAATAATTTGTTATAAGATGTAAAACATGTTATAATATGTAGTGAGGTAGTGTACAATGTTAAAATATGTAATAACATATTATGATATGTTATAAATGTTATAAGATGCTATAATATATTATAAGAAATCATAATATCTTATAAGATATGTTCAGATGATATGATATATTATAGGATCTTAAAAGATCTTATAAGATTTGTTAAAATGTTAAAATGTATTATAAGATATTATACGATATTATAATTTGTTGTAAGATGCTATAATATGTTATGATATGTTATAAGATCTTATAAGATCTTACAAGATAGTATAAGATATTACAAGATATTATAAGATCTTATAAGATATGTTAATAAATTATAATATATTACAAAATATCATAAGATGTTATAATATGTCATGAGATCTTATAAGATCTTAGATTATAAGATGTTATCATATGTTGTAAGATGTTATAAGTTATAAGATACTATAAGATATGTTAATCATCTTATAAGTATCATACACCATTCAAGTTACGTTCATCAACTGAGCGAAACAACGAGGGCAGAGGGACGCAGCCGTCGCATGCCGTTGGAGGCCATGGGATAGACCACGAGGCCGGCCAGAAGGCCGATCAGCCTCAGTCGATAAACCCCCTGCCGTGCAGTTCCGGGAACTTGCCTTGAAAAATGGATGGCGAATGTTGTCTCATGGCGATCTTCTGGTACGGAAAATCAGCGATTTGCCCATGAAAATTGGTTAAACTGGAAAATCACTAAATTCACTATCTTTAATAGGTATATCAACTATCAATGGGCCATGATAGCTAAACTGGTTGGTGGTTTCAACCTCTCTGAAAAATAAAAAATGTTCCAAACCACCAAACAGATGAAGTATTTATTTATAGATGTTTATAGATGTAGAAAAATATATAAAAGTATTGAAAAATAGAAACGTATTGAAATACTATAAACATCTCTATAAGCAAGTATAATACGTCACTAAATCTAAAATAATTATTACTTATTAATTAGATTAATGAGGATTTTGTGATGAATGTACTATTAACAGTTGACTTAACTATAGATTTATGTGGAATCTACTATTCTAAGTGGATTTGTGATATTTATGTGGATGTTACTCTGCAAGTCTCTTTCATGTAACTTTTATCACTATTTCATGTAGGATCTTACTGGCTGACAGGGCCAGAAGGTGCCTAAGCGCCGACCGCAGACGTGGCTGGTACCCTAAATAGCTGGTATAGCTGGATGGTTATTCTCCCAAATATGGTCATAATAGGTTTTGACACCCATACAAACAACATCTAGGTGACATATCTGGGATATTTCATTGGAATTTTGAAGGGGAAGATAACTCATGTATACTAATATCACATACTATGACCAATATTCTTTTGTAAGATATGCGTGCGTTTACTCGACCTGTCATGGAATTGAAATATTGGTTGAGGGAATATTCAGCAAATGTTGGGGATAAGGGTGGGGACACCGTCTATTTGGCATAAAATGGGGATTACATGGATATATACTATGGATTATGGATTATGGGAATATAACCAGCAGTATCGAGATGAATGGAATATCACCAGGGAAAAAAAAACAGCCATGATTAGGAAACAGGTTTGGGATTAGCCAGCAATAATGTCAACCACCCCAAAAAATAGAAAAGTATAGAAAAGAAAATAACAAGTAACAATGTTGAATTGTTCTAAATAAGTTAATTAATAATAATATTTAATAACAACAATAACAATTTTATAATTATTCTAATAATAACAATAATAAGCTAATAAATAAAAATTCACTATATATTATATAAAATTGAACTTCTTAGGGGGGCGATAGTTCAGTCTTTGAATTCATGGGAGGGGAGATACCAATTTTGCGCCTTAGCAAATGCATAGCAAAAGGATACTAGAGGTTTTTTTGATACTTTTTGTGGTGAAACGTATGTCCTACCTGTTCATTTCTGGGCTGCAACACTTTCACCATTGAGTTTCTCGCTTACATTCGCTTACCGTACTTCAACAGACTTGGATCTACCCTTGAGTAAGTGTTGAAAATCACTTCAAGCATTGTGATCGTTTCATTACCCAGTTAGATACACAATGTACGTAGCCACATACATGGCTGATCTGGAATACCCTGGTACTGGGATGTTGTAATTATCCCATGGTAGGGATTAGAAAAAGAAAACATGCAACTAACTACCAACAAGATCAAGAATGCACCACCAAAGAATCTGATATGTGTATATAGCAAAACTTATAACTTCTGTGTCATCAAATATTTGAACCCTTTTCAATGATGTTGGTTGAGATCTCACTGGTATACAAAGGTATATATCTGGGAACAGTTGTATTGGCATCCATCATTTAGATTAATTCATTCAATAAGTTCAATTGCCATTGCATCATGGCTAAACTTGGCTACCCCACAAAAACTTGTTCGTCAAAAAGGATTTCTGGCAAACAAATACAGCGAACCATTTACCAAATCTCGGTTTGCCATGCGATCCAATTCCAGACTGTAGCTGGTTAGTGGTATCTCTCCCCCGCAGGATATGATAGGTAGGATGGACACATAAAATCATGTTGAGAAAAAAACACCAACGAGCCAGAGATACTTAATGTGTGGGCCCCCCAAACAATAGTTTAGTTGATTTAGTTTGCTAGGTTAAAGTACAGTTTCTCGTAGATATAACTACTATATAGTATTGAAATGTATTGATAGGGGTTATAAACCAACTTAACTACTAGCTTCAGTATGGTTTATGGTAAACACAACATAGACACAACTACATACGACTAATTAAGACTACTATTCATGGGGGTCATGAACCAACGCAACTCTCGTTGTAACCCCGCAAGCCTGTAGGATCACTTGCGAACATGTGTCGCGGCCAGGACACATGGAAGTTAAAGGCGTGGACACCTCGGAAACTCTCAGAGAAACACATGGCTATGAAATCCCCGAGCCATCGCTCCAGAGATTAACATGTCTATAATTTTAGCTCATTGGTGGTTTAAACCTACCGCCCGAAAAATATGACTTTGTCAGATTGGGGAAATCATCCCAACTATTGAAGTCATAAAATTCCATGGTTCCAAACCACCAACCAGGAAAGTGTATAGACCAAGAATAGATGGTATGGTGATATCAACATCGCCTACACATATGCTGGATAATCAAATATTAGGGTTATTGATGGTTATTGGGTTATTCCAAACCACCAACCAGTTAGTATTAACATGTATTGATCATATCTTGGGGTACACCCATTTTGACCCAACATGACCATGATGAGCTGATGGCTCAGCTGGACGATGACAGTTCGAACACGTGGGCCTGTCAAGGATCTAGAGCCCAAGAGATGTATCTAAAAAATCATGATGGACAAACAGCTATAGTGTTGACATATTAGAGATGGCAACATCATTCTGCAAAGTTTCTGGACTGTTTTTTTTGGTTTCAATCCAACTGAACAACAAATAACCATTCGGGATCAAACATTTTGTTGGGAGCTCGTTTTGCTGGAATCATTGGCTTCTTCCAAGCTGAGATCAAAGCACTTGTCATCTGTTGTCCTGGGTACCCAATCACTGGTTCAGAATCTTCAAATAAATCTATATATATATATAGGTCGATCGACAAACTCTACGGTTTGTTTGTTGGGCCTGTTTGAGCATGGAACCGCATGACTGTGGGAAAGATTCTACCCAGCAACCCCCCAACAATGTCATGTATTCCACCATCCACTTTCCCAGGTCCATCATGCACTATATTTGATTGGAATATATATATATATATATATTATATATATATAATATATATAGTCTTAATTATTAACATTCATTAACATTCGACTATATTTCATTGGTATCATGTTTGTTCATCTTTGCTTCGAATCTCCCGAACCCTCTGGTTTCAGAACGGGGATTGAAACACCGAATCATCCAGGCCACATCGCAGCAAGCCGTAATCGAGACCAACCCAGAGAGAAGACCATTGCAGAGAAATCCAACGTCCAAGTTCAGTCGAAAACCTCCGGTTCAAACTTTCGCGCGAGAATAAAAAGATATAAAAAGCAGGCGGAAAGCCTGAGTCTGAAAATGTGAAAATCTCTACCCTCTGGTAGTTTGTTACAGTTTGCTATTGCAAATGGCCCATTTACCTATTACAGATGGTGATTTTCTATAGCTATGTTAGATTACCGGAGGGTATATTTTGAGGCTTTTGAGGAGATGTCATCAAGGGGAGAATGAAAACACTGGGGATTCTGATGAAAGCTGACGAAGTTCACGACGGTCACACCTGAATTTAGCATCACATCACCCAAGCAATGGGCCCGTCTTCAAAAACGTGGAGGAGTGCAGATCCGACTTTCTCATAACCCGCCAGGAAATCTCTTGTTGCCATTTAGCCTCTGGCAACTAGGAGGTTCTGTGCTTCATAAAGGTCCAGCGATGTCACCCTTGATTCAGATTGGAAATGGATATGTAGCCTCTGCACCAAATTCATTGAGATCGATCACAAGATATAGGTTAAAACTGAAGCCACGAATGCTGCGAACATTGTCGTTCGCTTACGCGGTCTAGTATTGTTTAGTGTCTAAATGAATTTTGCAAGAACAGGCTGGGGCACAGCAACCCACGAAGCCGTACCATGGTCACCGCACCAACCCATCTGCAACCAACCAAAAAGCATCAACAAGCCATATTGTGATATTAGAATATGGAAGAATATCAAATACGAATATGTAGTTAATCAAACAGAAGGCAGAAGACCCTTTTTGCCAGCCATTTCTGGTGATATTGGGTATGTCGACAACTATTTGGTGTACCGCATGTATCCACACTATGTATATATAGAGACTCATGTATCCAAAATTTCGGGCGCATTCCCAACCTACAAAAAAATCAGGCGCAAGTCCACAAGAATGGCGCAATGTAGAAAACATGGCGCAATTCCACAAAAACGGCGCAATGGAAATTCTGCACGGGCAAGGACGGCGCAATCACGGGCAAAAACGGTGCAATCATTGGCAAAAACGGCGCATTCCAACACCAAAATCTAAAACCATATTTGTTTCCCAAAGAACGGCGCATGCCAGAAATTTCAGCGGCAATCAGATGAAACACTGTTTTGCTAGACCAGCATCAAAATTTTGATGCCGCTCGAGTCTCTAGGTATATATATATATAGCTTATCCATGTCTCATAAAGCATAGATTTAATTGATCCCACTCAATCACTGTTGTGCTGTTCTCAGTGTCCTCCCAGAGACACGAGAAACCGTAAAGGTACAGGTAGGACCCAAAGCCACCCGCAGCGGCAGCAACGGTGGTGTTCCATGCCACCAAACCAGCAGTGTGGGAACCTGGACATAGATGGGGAAAACAAAAAAAAATCTCGGGCAATAGGGAGACTATTGACATTAAGGTTTAATATTATTAATGACTATTCCACTGATGACTTTGCTTTTTATTACATGTTTAGTAATCCCATCAGCCTAATTTATCTAATAACCCCTACATAATATCGAAGTTTGTATAGATAACTAACTCATCCCCTTGATTTGAAACACCCCAAATCAATGGTCCTTCTCATGTGTGTTTTTACATCCTGCTTCCACCATGGCGCCGCTGGTGTTTCAAACATATCACCTGCCCCAAAAAACAGGTTGGATTGGAGGGTAGTCATGTCCCAATCATGTCCCAATCATGTCCCAATCATTCGGCACTCAGAGATGACCATGCATGCACGTATGATTCTGAAATAAATCCTATTTCACATAGCGGTTAAAATTGCCCATAACCATCCGAACCCAAAGTCTACAAATTTGCAGTACTTTGATGAAAAGATAGTCTTTTGAGCATATTTCATAAAAAGTTCGTCTTTTTGCCAAAAGTTCGTCTTTTTTTGAAAATTGCTGAAAACCTCATGTTCCCATGGTTTTGGAAGGGATCTTAAAAGGTATACATGGATAATTTTGATGTTTATCCTGATGCATTCTTATTTTCCACGCCATTATGTATCCTCATCTTTAATTAGTCCCGTCTATGATGTCCACAACACTACAGTATAGTGCCAGGAAACGAGGAATCAGCCCCAGCGATCAGTCATTACAACTTTCATCGTGTTCATGGTGAGCCCAGATAGCTGTATTTCTCAAACCCGTAGAAAACCCGTACTAACCCGTAGAAAACCCGTAGAATCCCGTAGTGTAATTCGAAAAGATCGTTTTTCCACACGTTTTGGAAAAAGTTCGACTTTTGCTAACCCGTAGAAAACCCGTATTTTAGCAGTGGAAACCCGTAAAAACCCGTCCAAAAAATATGGGTTTTTAGTAGTTTTTGGGTGTCCTGGGATAATGTGCTTCCGGTAGGTCTTAGGCCTTCTTAGCATGTCTCATGGCTTCAAATTCGATGGTCGCAATTGATGAAACATTTCTGACAATGTGCAGGTAAAACAAAGAAGTGGATTGTATCCTGTCAAAATGCCGTAAATGTCTAATCCAGGATGTTCACAGCATTTTGATGGGATGTTGGTATATTTGGCACGGTCTTGGAAATAGCTGATTTCCAAAAGTTCGACTTTTTTGGGAAAAGATCGTTTTTTCCTAGGTGTCTGCGATTTCAAGGGTTTTGGGATCCCATGGAACTAGTTTTTTTTATGAATGACCTACTAAAAATGATGCTATTCCAAAATGATGTTCTGATGTTGAAATGTGTTGAAATACTACGGGGTACCCTCCCGTAAACTAACAGTTCGATGTGGAAAACCCAGCATTTTTAGATCATGTTCTGAGGGAACCATATGGGTTTTCCATGGGTTTTCCACATCTGATTTCTATGAAATAAGCCCAGCTGCTGCCCGGTTGAGCTGTCAAGCTTCCTCCTGCGTTAAAGCCTTGCACGGCTTGGGAGTTGGGAAAATACCGCCCTGAAAATGGGGCAGCCCCTCCCCAAATTATGGCAAGTTCAATAGAGTCTATAGAGAAAATGATGATTTATCAGTGGATCAGTGGCATTTAGAGCCATATTTTTTTTTTTTAATAAAACCATTTGAATATCACCCTGGCGCATTGATATCATTCCCAGTCCTGGCAACGAATTCTGAATGATGCTTAAAATTCAATAACTTGGTCATTGATGTCATTGATCCCCAGTCCCTCGTCTGGCGCATGCGTAGGGCGCCAAGGCACCCAGATCTGTTTCTCTGCCAACATCTTGTGTAGATCATAAGCCCAGGATGGACATACACATGTTCCAAAAAACATCCAAAAAAACAACATAACCAACCAACCTTGGGAGGCCTAGCCAATCCTAGCCATGTAGACAGTCCATTTCCATGAGACCCCAGCTACCAGGTGATACCAGGTGAGGGTCGCTGCCGCAGCCAGCTCGTGGCTGCGAGCTCCAGATGGGTCAGAATATGCCAGACATACTGCGTGACATACTTTCAGATGGGTTTGTCTGAAAATAGGGTATATTCCCAATTATAGCCATTTAATAGGGACAATGATCATGAACCATTGGGTTTAGGGGTACACTATTTTCAGACACACCCAGACGATATGCCAATGATATGCCAGAAACATCCAGAAACTATGCCATAATTTGTCAGGGGGAGAAGACTCGGGAGAAGACTCAAAGTAAAGTATTTCTTTGAGCTCTGCTTGAGTGCGTCAACCATAGCTCGTGGAAAAGGATTGTTGACCAGCGGAGCTAGGTATACAGATCCACATACAAAATCATCTACGTGCAGGTTCTCCATTTCTGTGTTTCTTTACAAGCAGAGCTGGTTGGTGGTTTTAACCATCTTGAAACATATTAGTCAATGGGAAGGAATATCCCATATATTATGGAAAATAAAAAATGTTTGAAACCATCAACCAGAGAGTGTACGCGATTGTATCCAACCCTTTGCCTGTGATACAACCGTGGAATCCGTGGGCGATGCAGCCAGTAATGCTACCTGGAAGTTCCTTGACGTTCAATTGGACCTTTGACTTCTTGGAAATACAGCAACAGCAGTCAAAATCATTCCGACTAGCAAGCTAGGCTGACATGTCTTTGAAATGTCTGCATAAGACACATGTTGTGGCGACGTTTATATCAGACAAAGTCTGGCTGCAAACTCGAAACCAAGCTGCTCATGTGGACTGGTTCTACCATCCCCAATGGCAGGTTTCATCAGATTACTACAGAGTACTTGACTTGAAAACAACATGGGCATTTCACCAGAAAGTTGATCCACTTTTAACTGGTTGGTGGTATACCTACCCCTCTGAAAAAATATGAAAGTCAGTTGGGATGACTATTCCCAACTGAATGGAAAAATAAAATTCATGTTCCAAACCACAAACCAGATCACCATCATATTCCCATTGTTGTTGGTTTATAAGCTATTAACCACTAGTCAATATTAATTAACCATTATATAGCCATTAACTAATCATTGTTTGGGGTTGTATTCTTTGGGTCTCAAGCTTAGTTCAACGCCAAGGTGCCGTACCAGCCGACCCACAAGATGAACATGCCCATCACCTGCGGCAGCAATGCCATTTTTCCCAGCCATGACTGGGAATGGTAAGTTTATACCACCTATATATTTGTGGTGATGACTGGGGGATGGTTTATGGCATTGTTTTACCCATATTATCCAATTATGGGAATGGTAAAATAATTATCACCTATAAACATGGTGATTTGATGTTTTTGCTGATTATTTTACCCACTGTAATGTGGGGTAATTGACTATTTTACCACTCCCAAAACCACATAATTGAAATAACAATCAAATATGGTGATGACTGGGGGATGGTTTTGGGATGCTAAACATGACATTGTTCTAGCCACGATGTGGATCTTTCTACTCCAACTTTGGCCAACTTCCCATGGCCAAACGCCCCATGCCCCCAGGCCACATGTCTTTTAGCTGCTTAGTTTGTGGCTAACACAATGCCATTTGCACCACCCAGGAAAATCACCAGTGTTATAGGTGTTTTTTTTTGGTATTTGCACCATTCACACATGGGTGGTTTATGACATTGTTTTACCCACATGAGTTTATAAAAATATATTGACCCCAGGCTCAATGGGTCTAAAGTCTAAAGTCATATGTATCCCAAACAAATGTTGTTTAACGCATGGGTTGTGTGAAAATAGGGCACCCAAACATCAAAAGTCCGATGGTTGATCAACGTCAATCATCATGTTCTCTGTGAAATTGCCATAAATTGCCCATTTTGGATCCTCCCCCATTTTTTTTGACACGCCCTGCAACACGGACAAGTTACATCAGGGGGGATGTCTATCAGCTCTTACGGAACATGTCCCAAGTTTTGACAATAAAGCGCATACGAGATATAGATAACATTATATAAACATATTACAATATATTATTGTATCATATAATTATATAATGTTTGGATATATTTGGAATGTGTAGAGTACTAATATATGTACTAATTATGTCGGAAATCTTAAAAAAAAAGTAACTCGCCAAAAAAAAACAGCAGGTGCCCGGCAATGCCCGACTTGCCCGTACCATGCCAGGCCTGCAGATAGTTGCAGGGCTGAAATTCCGCTTTGTCCCTCTCTGCGTTGTCAAAGCGGCGTTGCCAGCGAGCCTGGTTCTAAGGATTCAAGATGATTGCACCACATTCAGAATGGTGACAAGTCACGGTAACCCTCCAAAAATCAAACGTGGCAAAGGGAAAGACCCACATACCCTATAAAAACGGATCTACATGGAGATTCGCGTGCGAAATGATCAAGAAAATCCTTCAAAATTGGGATCAAGGCATCAAAAATGATGGTTTAACATGGTTTAACCATAGATCATCATCAGTATATTGAGGACAAAAGTATGGGGTACCGGATAAAACAGTACAGTACACTCAGTATCACTCAGGATGCTTCCAATAGAAATGGGTTTACAATAGTACAATGTGAGAATGTGTAAATCTAATTTACTAAATGATCAGGGGGAGCTTGATAATGGGAAACTCTGCAACATAGAATGCCTAATGTTAGGATGTGCTTGGATATTTACCCTGGGGTAAACGTTTACATAGATGTGGGGCAATCCGCCATTTGCAGATTCGGAAAACTAAGGAAACCATAGGAGTTTCCACATCAGTTACTTTACCCGGGACAACAAGTCAAATCACAAAAGGTGACCGCCGGTGATCACCGGCCGGACTCTCCGGCCTGTGTTTCGGGCACCAAGTCTCCGCACCTGCGGTTTTTGGATGGTTTTTAGACAGAAAAACGATGGGATGATTCTGGGATTCTTTCACTGAAAAATACATCTGGTTGATGGATGTTCCAAACCACCAACCAGAATCAACCAGATATTTTCTGCTATGAAAGTGACATGTAGATCATGAAAACTATCAGGAAAACCACTTAGGACTATCAACCATCGATCATTATCATATATTATTATTGTGGTAGAATATTGGTTGACATCACTATTATCAATTATGATTAACTATCATTATTATATATTATTATTAGTTAATCATCTATAGAATTTTTGGGCATGATTCCCTCCAAGTCGAAAAAAAACTCCAGCTCTACCAGGAGAAAAACTGCCGAACTGCCCAAAAATTTGATGCCCCAAACTGCACCCCATTTTCAGACGAAAATCAAAACCCTCCAATACCCTGTGGTAAACTATATAGCTATTGAAAATGGCCCATAGAAATCGTGGATTTACCCATTAGCATGGTGGATCTTTCCATAGTTACGTAAACGTTTACCAGGCCGGGTAATCTGGCCATTCCAAAATCATTTACTCATGAGCTTTCGATGGCTTCCATTTTGGGGGATGTTGCGTTGCCACGAGCCAGGATATACACAATAATCGATCTTTGCTGGGAGAAGAAGAACATAGAATTGAACAAAGAAACGAGTTTCTTGGTACAAGAAGCCAATAAGCCTTTCCTCTTCAAAAGACGCCCTAAAACCTTGTTTAGTATTGGGTCGGGTTTTCTTGTAAGGCTCCGCAAGGTCCATATGGAGGTTTCCATTAATGGGGGGCATCTCCAAAATGGATGGTTTATAGTGGAAAATCCTATTTAAATGGATGATAACTATATAGTTGTACCCCCAATTTAGGAAACCTCAGATGCAGTAGATTTTTGGACCAGGAATGGTAATATCAGCAAACCCATCTCCGAGATTTTTCTGCTGTGTAGCCATACTTTTTTGGCGAGACCCCCAGGTCTGCCATCGGGTGTCTCGAAACATGGTTTGCTTGGAAATCGCCCATCACCAATGCAGGTGTGTAGCTGGGAAAATCATCGAACCAAATTAAGTAAATGGATCTAAATGGAGGAGATGCATGGATATTCCCTTATGTCCTTTCATTCTGGCTGGCCACGCTATACCTGTAGGTGCTCAATCTTAGAGTTGGTTGGAATCAACCTTGGCATCTTCACACATGAGCAGTGCCCAAACCCTCTGTCATCCGTTTCCACTGGTTGATAGGAGTTCCTATTTGGACAGAAAAACACATGTAAACACAGAATGCAATAATCCTACCATTTTCGCCATTATGATTCATAATGTGTATATATATATACATATACATAGTTTTTCTTCATCAACCCATGATATTCCCATGTTCTCCGTGGTTAAACCATGTTAAACCCAGCTAACCCACCAGATCCCCCCAGCACAAAAAGCCTCGTGTCCCGGAACGCGTCCGGCGCTTCCAAGTCTTCCGCCACAGTGTCCTGCGAACGCGTTGCCCGGTTGTGCCAAGATCCAAGATGTTGAAACCAAAAAAAATTGGGCATATAAATACATGATTATACACACATATAATACATATATATATATATTAATATGTGGCATATATTATATATATGTTATAGTTACTAAAATAATTACTAAGACTTTGATTGTGGTGATCATCAATGTTATGATGATGACAACTACAATAGCGATAATTGTAATGATAGCGACAGTAATAATAATATACAATGATTGTATGTAATATTAATATAGTAGAACAATGGTAGTAATAATGATAAGTCATCATCATAAGCCATCAAATGGACATCAACCATCCTTGGGGTGCTTCTCTTCACAATAAACATACGGTGTGGATCTTTGTGCTGAGCTAGTCCCTTAGATGGACCCCCAACAGTTGCCATGGGGTCAAAGGAGATCCGATAGAGTCTCATCGACTTTTGCATTGAAGTGTAAAAAAACAAGATGGAAGCCACGAACCCGAATGTGTTCACCTTCTTGGACTACGAGTCCAAACCTCTGCAATAGGAAAACGAACCTTTTTTTTTCACGCATCGTGCGCTCATTGTCGCAGCGAAGGCACCTGATCAACAGTTCACAAAGAGACAACTAACCAGCACAACAACATCACCACCAGCACAACGAAATCACCACCAGCACAGCAACATCACCAGCGCTATGAAATCACAACGAAATCACCAGTACAACGAAATCACCAGCACAACAAAATCACCAGCACAACAACATCACCAGCGCAACGAAAGCACCAGCACGACGAAATCACCAGCGAACAGCACCAGCGCAAAAAAATCACCAGCACAAACGAAATCACTAGCACAACCAAAACACCAGCACAACGAAATCACCAGCGCAACAACATCACCAGCACAACAACATCACTAGCACAACGAGATCACCACCACCTGCCACACTCCACACTTTACCCACTGCACACTCCACACTCCACACTCTACACTTTACACTCCACACTCCACACTCTACACTCCACAATCTACACTCCACACTCCACACTCCACATCTTACAGTTTACACTCCTACACTTCACACTCTACACTCCACACCCGACACTTTCCACACCTCACTCCACACTCTACACTTTAAACTCCACACTTTCCACTTTGCACTTTACACTCCTCACTCCACACTTTACACTCCAAACTTTACACGCCACACTCCACACACTACACTTTACACTCTACACTGTACACTCTACACTCCACACTTTACACTTTACACTACACTCTTTACACTCCACACTCTACACTTTACACTCCACACTCCACACTCTACACTCCACTCTCTACACTTTACCCACTGCACACTCCACACTCCACACTTTACACTCCACACTCCTCACTCCTCACTCCACACACTACACTCCACACTCTACACTCTACACTTTACACTCCACACTTTACACTCTCCAGCGCAACAAAAATCACCAGCACAAACGAAATCACTAGCACAACGAAATCACCAGCACAACGAAAAAAAACAGCACAACAACATCACCAGCGCAACAACATCACCAGCACAACGAGATCACCACCACCTGCCACACTCCACACTCTACCAACTGCACACTCCACGCTCCACACTCTACACTTTACACTCCACACTCCGCACTCTACACTTTACACTCTACACTCCGCACTCCATACTCGACACTTTCCAATCCACACTCCACAATCCACACTTTACACTCCACACTCCACACTTTACAGTTTAAACTCCTCACTCCACACTCTACACTTTAGACTCCACACTGTACACTTTACAGTTTGCACTTTACACTCCACACTTTACACTCCACACTCCTCACTCCACAACACTCCAAACTCCACCACACTCTACACTCTACACACGCACCACACTCCTCACTCCACACTCCACACTCCAAACTTTACACTCCACACTCCACACTTTACACTCCACACTCTACACTTCACACTCTACAACCCACACTCCACACTCCACACTTTACACTCCACACTCTACACTTCACACTCTACAACCCACACTCCACACTCGACACTTTCCACTCCACACTCCACACACTTTACACTGCACACTCCACACTCCACTTTACACTTTACACTCCTCACTCCACACTCCACACCCTTTACACTCAACACTCCACACTTTACGCTTTACACTCCTCACTCCACACTCTACACTTTAAACTCCACATTTTACACTTTGCACTTTACACTCCGCACTCCACACTTTACACTCCACACTCCACACTCCACATGGAAAAGATCCACAGTCTGCAGCTTACACTTGGACATGCTCAAGTAAAAACAACTAGACACAAAAACACCACACAAGTAACAGAAACATCTCTCAAGTAAATCAGTTGTCGCAAGTAAAAAAGACATCAAAGAACACATTCAAATAAACACAAAGCAGCACCCTCATATAAGGAACCGAAAGCCAAATCCAAGATGCACAAGTAAACACACAACTGACATGCCCAAGTGCAAAAAGCTCAAGTAACATACACAGGTCCCAAAAATAACCAGCAAATAACCAGACAAAACTAACATGCCCAAGTACAAAAAGCTCAAGTAACATACACACAAGTCCAACAGAGAAAACAGCAAATAGAAAACAAACATGTTCATTAGACAGAAAATATCATCAAAACACAACCATCACCACAATCAAACCAAAATAAAACATGTAAAGCAGTATTACACTTGAACAGTGCCAACAAGACACATCATTCAAAATGTTAAGAAAACCAACAGCAAAAAAATCAAAAACACAAAAAAAACAATAAAAAAAACATTAATTTATATGCGTGAAAAAACATGACAACAATTTAGGTATATACCTAAATCAATTTAGGTATATACCTAAATCAATTTAGGTATATACCTAAATGCTTTTCAATAGTAAATATTTACTAAGCTAAGTAAAATTTTACGTAATTTTTTGGCCTAAATCCAAAAATTTGCGTAAATTTTTGTCGACCTAAATTTTACTATTTTAGGAGACTCAGGGTATGAATTATGATCTAGTCACAAAATTGGGCAACATCTTTCTTCGGACGGTAATGCTGCAGGAGGTTTACCACAAAGACCAATCTCCGTAGCATCTGCAAATGGCCGTCATCCTTCTGCAAGCCAGGAATGAGTAATTCAAAACCTCGATGACATACCCAAGGCTCCTGTTGGGATCCCTGACCCAATTGACTGAAAGGTTCCAATCGTCTTCCGACAGCATCATCCCAGAGCGTCACAAAAGCCACAAAATCTCACGATGTCAAGCGTCTGCCGATCGCACTCAGAGAGCCTTGGCTCTGTGAACCCTTTCCAACTTGCCGTCTTTGTATATTGGCATGGAAACTAGCACCATACACTTTGAAGTTGCGGAGCAGGTTGGCGCTTGCACGGCAAGCTGTCACCAAAGGACGTGTTCCACCGACACTGTCCACCTGAAGGACCTTCTCGCCCAGCTCCTCTGCCACACTTCTGTAAATTATCTTGCCATGGCCATGCCCAAAATGTTGGGACATAGCTTTTGCTACAGCCAGCAGCTCTTGGGCCGTGCTGCTTTGAGACACTGCATTGCCCCACGCACTATTGAGACGATGAAACTGGTCCCACTCAACCATCGCAGCACTGTCAGGATGGACAGTAGCATACAGCTTCTCACCCGCTTTGCTACTAGAGTGCCGGGCAGATGGGCCACCACCAATCACTGCACCATCTCCACCCACAAGCGACAACAAGCGGCATCGCAAAGCATCAAGGTTCAACACTGCTTCGTGCGGCTCCAAGGATCTGAGCACTGTTGCCGCCAGCCCGTGGCCATCAGTAGCCAAGCCCGGCGAAGGGGTTCCAATGAGTTGGTTTTCCAAACTCCCAGTTCCACCCACAAAGTTGGCAATGACAACTTCAAATGTTTCATGCTTAGAAAATAGGCCACCTCCCAAGGTTGCTCCATCGAAGACAATGCTCATGGGACTAGGAACACCAAGCGCAGGCATACGCAACAGGATGGCCTCAGACTCTTGGAGCTCAATCAACTTTGAAGACAATGTTTCCACTGTTTCCAGGAAATCACGCGAACCATATTTGTCTCCAGTGTCGCAGCCGTTCAGAGCTAGTCGGCAAAGGGAATCAGTGAATGTCCGCTGAGGAAGGCCATATGATGCTGTATACAGCGCCTCTCGCACTAATGCGCGCATGACATCAGAGCTTGATTTCCGGGGCTGGAGTGCTTGGGGCACACAATTGCTTGGCATAGTCTCCAAATCCTTTTGGTTGCCACACACGTCTCTGTCTGAAGGCTTGATAGGGTTCCAACCTGCACCTCTGACTTTCCGCAGCACCTCCCTGATTGTCTCAGCGGGAAGGCGCATCAAGCATGCAGCTGCTCGGACACTAAATGGTTTCGCACCCTCTGACATCTTTGGTAGCAGTTCTGCAATGGTTCGACAAAATTTGGTAGGCAATTTCCCAAGACTCAATGCAACATTTGCTATCAAAACTTGGCTCTGTTCCTGCAATGGGGCCACACGTCTCCATATATATGAGCCAACATTCACGCCAGGCTGCCAGTCTTTACTGTCTGCCTCTGCATCGCCAAAGGAGCCTTGAGGATCTAACTGGAAAGCATCGCCGGTTGTGTTTTGTGCTTCAACACATCCAGATATAACGTCACTCAACTCGAACCCTGAAGTCTTTTCAACTTCAGGACACAGCACCAAGTCGGGAACCACCTCATCGTTCAAAAGAAAGCCAGAGGAGGTCTCTGCTTGAAGCGCCATGACAGCATTGCATCAAAGAGGGCTGTTTGGTCACATCGTTAAATTTGATTGCCCTACCATATCAGCAGCAGTCTCCATTCCAATGTAAAGTGAGCTACATGGCTACGATATTCAAATGGCAGTGGGGTATCAACGAGCGATGTCGCTTGAAAGCAAAAGCCAACTTAGTGAATGTATAGGTGAAGCTTGAGGATTGAGCTGCGGAGCCGTGGGGTGGTGACAATGCTTGCAAAGGTTTTCGCTCTGAACGGCCTTGCATGGTGCACAGAAATCCAAATTACCATGTCACTGGCTCTGGTGATCAATGGGGTGGCAAGTATGCATGCTTGCTAGACCCACACGCTGTTCGGATTGAATGGCAAATCATGTGAGTGGGTCTGCCTGAGACTTGTTTCTAATGTTTGTTCAAATGCAATCCTCTCATGTATTGCAACACAAAGCATGCACGAACCAGGCAGGAGAAGAGACTATGCAACTCATACTATGTTCGCGTTGACTTGCACATCAGTCAAGCAATGTAAATGGCGACTTGCCTCATCAACTGTTCCCTGTGTCCCACAATTTTGCCAAGCCTTCTTTTCTAGCTGCTGGCTCCGAATCTGCCTTCCTGGGCCTGACCAAGAGATACGGCTCCTATTGGCACGAATGCTAATTTAGGAGCGCATCTTCTTACATGGCGGCGGCTCCCATTGGCACGAATGGAAAACACATTTCTCCAAAACTGCCCTGCGTTTGCAGAGTTAGGAGGGCATCTTCTTGCATGGCGGCTTCTCCGTATTCGCGCAACCTCATCTCTGCATACTTCATCTCCTCCTCCCAAACGAGGATGGCCCTGTCCACATCCGAAGCATCTTGCGAAACCAACATCTTGCAAAGCAGGACGCGATCAACCTGCTTCATTTCCACCGTGCCCGTGATCGAGGCAGTCATTGGCAGACTGTAGCTGGTAATCCAAACATCCTTGGAAGTTAGCCAAGAAAGTGCAGCACAACAATAATTATCATACATTAATCTCATGTTTTCTCATCCATGTCCATGTCCATTTTGTGATTTGTCTTCCCACCTTATGAATCCATTCTGTGATTCATCATGCAAGGGCACCCACCCTTGAAAGACATTGCAGCATCCCCAAAAGTCCTGATTGGAATTTCGTATGAAACCGAAACAAGGCACAAAGCCGAAACAACATCTTAATTACACCTGAACAAACCTCAACAACACCTTCTTTGGTTGGAGGGTTTTAATTTTTCCACCTCCTAGACTAGACCTCCATGGAACGCTAAATGCGAACCACATGGACCAAGTTTGCCAAACATAAGCCCACGATAGCCCACAACTGCCCCGACTTGGCCCCACATAGGCCCAACGCAGGCCTTCAAGTTGCTTCCAAGAAAACATCAACAACATCTTCTTTGGTTGGAGGTTTTTTCTCTCCCCGCCAAGACCTGCATAGAACATCTTCTTTGGTTGGAGGTTTTTTCTTTCCACCCCAAGACCTCCATAGAACCCCAAATAGCCCCAACATGGACCTAACCAATGCCCCGACTTGGCCCCACTTAGGCCGAACACAGGCCTTCAAGTTGCACCTCAAAAAACCATCAACAACATCTTCTTTGGTTGGAGGTTTTTTCCTCTCCTCCCCGAGACCTCCATAGAACCCCAAATACCCCCAACACGCACCAAATTTGCCAAACATCAGCCTAATATCGCCTGCCAATGGCCCAACTTGGCCCCACATAGGCCCAACATAGGCCCTCAAATTGCATCTCAAAAAACCCTCAACAACATCTTCTTTGGTTGGAGGTTTTTTTCTCTCCCCTGAGACCTCCATAACCCCAAATACCCCCAACATGGACCAATTTGCCAAACGTAAGCCCAAGAGTAAGCCCAAGCTAGCCTACAACTGATGGACCTTGGCCCTACATGGGCCCACCGTAGGCGCTAACAACTTCAAATGTGCTTCCATGAACCTATTCACACGTTGCCTTCTATGTAAGATGTTCCAATTCCATAAATACTATTCCTTGAGGGCCCAACAGTGGATCTAATATGAAATCATTCTTGGCGGGCTGGGTCCTATAAATCAAAAGCTCATGCTGACCATAGTGCTTATTTAAAAGAAAGGTTTCCTGTGTCAAGCCAGGGTCACCCCCAACAGAAATACGCCAGGGAATGGTATCTCTTTGCGAACGGATTGTGGGTTCAAAAGCCTAGGCACAGAGAGCGGCGAGACACCAATGTCAAGATGACGAATGTCACGTTCCGGCAAGCGCTCACATCCGTAGGAGAACAGCTGAAATCGATCTTGCTTTAACTTTGTGCTAGCCCAGCAAACAAGAGTCAAAAGACTGGCATCCGGGTAATAGAAGAAAGTCTTGTCGGCAACCTTCCTGGTGAAGTTCCTGTCACAGCAGTGTCCATTGAGTCCATGCACTTGGCAACGCCAGTGTCCCATATTTTCTGCTTGGGAAGAAACAAGATTTGGTTACTTCATGTGTAATCTTGAAGGCCCTAGGCACTAAAGTGCTCAGGGAATGCAAGGACAGGAAGGACCTGTCCTCTTCAGCAAGCTCCGGACGTTTTCCGCAATCTTCTTATCCGCAGGCATGTAGAACTGGAAAGAAGGCACACGGGTATCAGGATGATCCACAGTGACGTGGAGCTGATACTGGAAGAACTTGAGGATCCTTCAAGTGCATGTGACAGGTGAGCAAATCGAAGTTGGGCACCACAACTTGCTCACCCTTGGCCATGGATACCCGACGTTTTTCCAAGTCCTTGGAAGTTGCAGAAGGGTACCTCTCAAAATAGGGAAGCCCACTACTGGAGGTATGTTTCGGAGGTATGATTCGGGAGTATGGTTCGGGGTATGGTTCGGGGGGTAAGGTTCGGGGGTATGGTTCGGGATGTGGGAAATCCATGTTCCACGTAACAAATGAATTATGTGATGGCCCCTGTGGGGATCTAAAAACAATCATAAACCCAGTGTGTCACGCATGAATCTCCATGTTACCAGATGTGAATTCTTTTGTTGAAGGTCATCCTCCGCCATCTACATGCAGGGCTGAGGCTTCCCCGGTGTGTTGCCTGTAATCCTTTTAGCTCTCACTGGTGCTTTCACTGACCGATTCGCTGTTGCTGTCCTCTAGGAAATTTACGGCTAAGGCTTTCTTTTGTCGAAGGTACTTTGCTTTTTGGTTGGCTGCGTGTTTAGTTTTAATTATCCATTATTGATTCGCAGCTGTCTCTGCTCACAAATGACAGGCTGGAGGTATGATTCGGGCATGATTCGGGTATGGTTCGGGGCATGGTTCGGGACAGAGTTTTTTCCCAACCTGAAAGCAAAAGTGTCATACAGTAGTCATACATCATAAATCACATTGCTTCCTCATTGCTTTTGGATTTCAAGCTCAAGACGTGTGAAGTTACATGGCCAGAAGTTCCAAGCCTAAACTCTTCCCACAAGAACAGGGCCATCTCAGCACAAAAAAGCTGCGAAGCCAGTGAATCAATCCAAACTTAAGTTGTGAAAAAAACACTAATGCTGTCATCACTTTACCCCTATCTATAGGGGTATGGTATGGTTCGGAGGTATGGTTCGGAGGTATGGTTCGGGCATGGTTCGCAGGTATGGTTCGGGGGTATGGTTCGGACAACTCGAACATCCAGCCCTTTTAAAAAACTGGACCCCTGAAATAAAGAAAGACCCAGAAAGGAATCTAGGACACCAAGATATGGGATACCGCGCAAGCACTTCAAACGTCTTTCACCATCAAAATTCTATCCCGGGCAGGCTGCTTTCTGCAGCGAGATGAACTGCCCTGCCACCACTGTCCACGATGTGGCGCGACAGAAGAGAGGAACCACAGACTTTTTGAAGTTGGTAGTCCCTGTGCCGCCATCGGACAGACTGACACCCAGACTGACAATGTGCACCCGAAACCAATCTACATGGAATGGACAATGTTTGCAACCATTCATATGTCCGAACTCGCTAGCTGAACTTCATGCAGCACAGAAAGTTTAGCAACCACATCCCTGGTCATGTTTGAGTATCAGCCCACAGCAGTGATGTGAAAAGGTTTTGCCGAGGCACTCGCGGGAAGACAAGCGAAGCTTGCGCCACAAAGCATCCTCAGCACTCGGGTAGAAAGAAACTTCGTAGCCGCAGCGGTCTGTCGCCACAACTGCGAAGTTTTCCATTGCAGCAGGAGCAAGTGTCACAGCAATGGCAGGGTCTTAGGCAAAATCGCTGCAACAAGATAAGGAGTGTCAGAGAGACGCACAAGCCACCAGTTCCAAACAACTGTTTTCACGGTTCCAAAAGGATCTGTGACCAATACCTATGCCCTCTGCAGTGCTCACGCAGGTAAAGTAAAGTAAGCCGTGTGGAGCCGGTGTTCATATATTTGTTCGCATCTGCATGTGTTTGCGCAACAGACGTATTGCGAAAAAAATGAAGCAAATAGGCACAAATATGCACAAATAAAAACTGGCCAGTGAAGCTCCGTAACCAGCTGGGCTTGGATACAGGTGTATGTATGTGTCTAAGCGGCAATGGCCTCCATAGTGGTGTCTCAAAAGAATGCCCGCTGGCCATCTAAACATGTAGTTCCACATGTCACTGTGGAAGACAACATGGATTGGGGGCCAAGAACTTGGAATAATCAGTTGTTCGTTGACTAATCTCATCAGCAAAAAAAGGGCCATGTGGAGGCTCTGCTCCTTAAACGCAACAGGTCACTCAGCAGTCCCAGTACAACTGCGAATCACAGATCGCCAGCCTCGGCTGACTGATGCTGGGAAGGTATTGTAAAACACAATTGGAACCATATGGGTATTTCCATTGATAGGGGCATACCAGAAACCGTAGTTTACCAACTACCAGTAGTACCGCACGAGGCGGTGGCGGAAGTTGCAAGAGCGGTCAGACTGACTGACTGACTGACTGACTGACTGACTATCTATTTGTCTGGTCTGTCTATCTGTCTGTCTGACTAGCTATCTGTCTGTCTGTCTGTCTGTCTGTCTGTCTGTCTGCCGTCCATCTACCTAACTATCTGCCTGTCTGTCTGACAGTCTATCTATCTGTCTGTCTGTCTATCTATCTGTCTCTCTGTCTGTCTATCTATCTGTCTGTCTGTCTGTCTAACATACAGGAAGACAGGATTGAAATCAGACAGAATGTTCTGATTCGGGAAACCCGGAGCTCTACCAAACAATGCAATGTCTTACGGGCAAATCTGAAATCGTCAGTTTCACAAGTCTGTCAACAATGGCATGCGCTGCTGAAGCTCCTGGCAAATTCGATGGCCTCAGAGAATGATCAAGCAAGTGCAGCCGCAATGTTACCAATGTTGCCAACTGCCTACTCCTGCTAAACTTCAAAAACACGCCTTCTTGTTGAAAGTGTGTGGATCTGGCTCAAAACCATTCATGGCCAAGGGCCCTACTTGAAAAAGGAACACAAATTGAAAACGTGCAGGAAGGCAGGAGAACAGGAGTGAAGCCCGGAGTTTTACCCAAACAAAACAATATATGATGGGCTGCTGTTTCACTGATCTCTCGTTTTTTTTGACTGTCCTGCCCCCCCTACCATTCAGTGAGCTGTTCTGTTTGCTGCAAATTTTACAAAATGGAAAAAGAAAAAAAACACCCAATACAGAACACAGCGAAAGATGTGGCAATTGGTTAAATAAATGTGTTTGGGAACAAAGGCTTACAGGTAACCAACATAGTAATAAGTAGCAATCTCGCAATGTGATCGATAGTTTTAAATGATGCTGGTCAATGGTTTTCAGAATTTCCGAAACAGCAAGTTTTTTCTGTCAGCTGCGCACATCCATCACTCCACAGAGTGTCCCGGCTGCGAAACTGATCACCACTGATCTCACAGGCCTATTCACTGATCTCACTGACTTGTTGCCCCAAGTCTCCCAGCTGCGCAGATCCATCACTCCACAGAGTCTCCCGGCTGCTCACCGAACTCACAGGCTTGCTCACTGATCTCGCTGACTTGTTGCCTCAAGTCTTTCAACTTCTCATACACGCGTCTGATGAGGAAGTGATGTACGAAGTCAACGACTAGGCGAACTTGTGAAGCTTCCTCGGTCAAGGCACCAATCTCTGCCAGCAGATTTTCCGAAGTCAACACCCTTTCATCAGCCGGAGGCTGTTGCGGTCCATCTGCCGGAGGCTGTGGTCCATGAGCCACAGGGTGCTGCGAAGGCAACAAAGAATCCGAAGGGCAAGTCGGCTCATCAGCAAGAGGAGGTGATTGATGAGGAGAGCAAGTTGGCTCGGCCGGAGGGCAAGTCGGCTTAGCCTTTGCCTTCTCATCTGTGACCTTCTTGAAGTATTGCACGGTCCCGTCTGGCTTCACGATCTTGTTCTTCGAGTGGATGCTGCCATCAGGGGATGTGATCTCGCACAACTCCTTAGTGAAATCGTTTTACAAGTCAACCTTCCTACCGCCGAGGGCATAGAAGTCGCCGATGGTCTTGGCCTTTTTGTACTTCTCATAGCGTTGAAATGCTTGTGATCCTTCTCTCTTGCGACCTCGAGGTTCGAACTCTATGCGTCAATCATCCCGTGGCTCAAATGCGGGCCTTTCGCCCGCTGCCATGATGAGAGGACAACGTGACCTGCGGATCTAAATTTTTGGGCCAGTAAGACAAATGTCAACTAAGAGTTGTGATCCTAATTGTAGAGCTGACAAATGAACAACAATTCAATTGCCCACTTTGGGTCAGTACCTGTCTTACAAACTCAACTCACCTCTAACAAGACAGTCGTGAAATTCTTTCGACCATTGTGAACATCAGCGTTGCCAGGTCCAGGTTGTGTTCATGAGTTCATGCACTGTACACACTGGAAACCAAAGATCCACCAGGTCTACACAATTTGGGTTCCCCGACGCAAACAAAGAAGGTCGGCTCCAAGAGGTGCAATCCTGCGCTGAATGATCAATCAATGCAGTGAAACGCTTCACCGCAATACTTAGTTCTGATTTCAGACAACTCTGCTTTCCATCTGCTTGACACCAAAATGTTCCAAAATGTTCCACAATGCCTACGCAAGCAAAACTTCAATCGAACGACTTTGTGTTGGAAATTTGTGGGTCTGTCTTGGAAGCATTCATGACCGAGTATTCCAGCTGGAAAATGCACGGCTTGCGCAAGTGGCATATCTTTTACATTCTTTCTGGCATATCCTCTGTCATTCTCTCCGGAATATCAATCATCTGATATTCTTTTTAAAAATCTATCCTCTTGGAATCTTGAAGATCAAGATGGGTCCCCACCCATGACCCTGCCTTACAGCAGTCTCTTCCACTCGTCCACCACCTCTGGTGTGGACTCGTGGCGCCAATTGTTTAGACCATCTGCGCTGCTCAGATTGCGCAGGACTTGCATGATTTTGCATAGCCCTGTCAAAATCTCGTTGTCGCCTAGATATGGCAATGCATGTGTCAACATGGACAAGTTCTTCGAAGAAAAGAACCTGATGATTGCAAGAAATTGATCAGCAAAATCAATCATGCACATGTCACTTGGTCTTCACAACGCAGCCCAGAAGCTCATCTGATTGTCAAAGGGTAATGTCTGAAGCTGCTCGCGGATCAGCGACAACACCCTTGGATGATGAATGCAAGAGATGGTTACTTTTAAGGTGAATGTTTTTTTTGCAGTCTCTATGCTCATCAGTTTGCAATGTTCAAGAAAAGTGTGAGCATGTTAGCGGGAAATTCAAAGTTGGTTTTCCCACACTGCCCCATGTCCCAATATACCAATACCATTATACCATTTGTTTGGGTACTGTTCGAAACCCTTGGATCCTGATGCAACTGCATCTTCCATCAAGGTACTGCTGCTGCTTGATTTTCGGCCAGAAGAAACGAAGAGCCAATTGTGACCGAGTACCACCCTTTGGTAATGGATCCGAAATCCCGGACGTGAGCCGGCCCAGCACCTGGCATGGTGTCAGAAAATATGCCATTCCTACGTTTTTTCTCTCCTCTCCAAGACCCCCACAGAACGAACCCCAAACAGCCGCAAAATGGACCAACTTCGCCCAACATCAGCCCAATATAGCCCACCAATGCCCCGACTTGGCCCCACATAGGCCCAACACAGGCCAGCGAGACAAAAATCGGGCGTCAACGAACGAACAGAAACAAGTGGTCTGTGCGCTCCTGAAACGAACATGGATACTCAGCTAGGTCAGCTTCGAATACTTGTTTGTTTCACACCTATCTGGTCTAAAACATGATTATACAGTTGAAATCAAAATTAAGATACCACAATATACCAGGACAGAATAATGAATAGAAAAATGATGGTTGTGTGTTGAATAACCATAGCCTAATGGTGACTTTCTGAAACGCTAAAAAGGGACACTCTCAGAATCCCTGCACAAGCTCTACGCAAGCATTATGACAAACTTGCCCTCCAGTCAGGGTCAAGCATTTCATTTCTTGCAGTTATCGGGATCTTGATTTTCTTGCAACACATCTGGATGGCATTACAGCAGCAACATACACCGAAGAGCTCATGAAGAAGACAACAGACAAAGGTGATTGCTGTATGCTTTCAATTGTTGAGTGGGGACATTCACGTCTGGAGTATGAGGAGAACCCAAAAATGTTTGAAGATGAAGATCACATGAACTACGTGGGTGAATTTTACTTCAAGGTAAATGAAACTTGCTTACATGGTGGTCACAATATCTTCATGGTTGCACCAAATGATCGTGATGCTCACAATCCTATTCTTGTTCATTTGAATCCTTCTGATATGTCATGGAATGAACGACATCAGTACAGGCCTAGCCTGTAGAAGATGAGAACTCATGAAAGAAGGAAGGAGAGACGAAAGGCGAACAAGAGGAAAGCATATGAAGAACAAGCATCAAACTATCAGGGCAACACTGGTTGGGGTGGATCCTCATCTTCTTCGTCCAGAACATGGAGAACAGGCTATTGGCGATGAGTGAGTGTATACTTCTTTAGTTGAAGATAACACAGCATGAGAGGCCTTGTACAGTTTTCTGTGCATCAAGATTGTTTTTCACACGATGACATATACTCTTTTAGATAGAGATAATGTCACAAGTGTCGGAATTTCAATTTAATGTAGATAGATACTCCTGTAAATAGAGATACTATTACTATCACATTTTGTCTCCATGAATTTTCCTTGAGCAGAACAACTCCGAATGGAGCGAATCAAATATACCAACTTCGAATTTTGTCCATTGTTCGCTTGAATGAGCAACTTTGGAGATCCGCGATTTCCGTTTATTTTGTGATTTGGTCAACTGTTTTTCCATCTGACCCAAATTTCTGAATCTTGCGAATCCGAACATTTCAATTTGAGCTTTCACCGGTAGAGCGAAGCACTTTGCTTGGAGCGACCGTGCACGACGCACAATTGGTCACTACTGGAAAACAATTAGTGAATCCGCTGTTTCTTTTTCGACATGTCCTTAGGACATTCGCTGCTTTCAAGATGATTTTCTTTTCAATTCCACTGCGCAACTTTGCTCGTTTTTGCCGATTTGCCATTGTGTAGAGAATACAGGAAGATACTCTTAATACCAATTGGGTACGACAAGGCGTAGTGCTCTACTCATTGCTTTTGAATCTGTGCCTGTGTTTTTCTTTTGACCTAATACCTACAGAGGTACATGCATGAGTATTGAGCACATCTATATGCGCCCTCAAGGCTCAAGAGGTATATAGAGTAACCCTGTGGACACCGCACTGACTGGCAATACGCCGAGAGTAAAAGTGTGAGCTGTCTTGGGAAGACGCCTTAGCTGATCTTGAAGTAGACGCTAGGGCCCCTCTTCACCCCCTCCCCCCTGTGGTGTGGTGGGGGTGGTACTGTCCCCCCTCCCCCCTGTGGTGTGGTGGGAGTGTGGTACTATATATATATATGTATATGTATGCATATATATATATATATGTGTGTATATATGTGTATATATATATGTATATATATATATATATACATTTGTATTTATATATATGTATATATATATATGCATATATATATGTATATATATATATATGTGTAGATATGTATGTATATGTGTATCTAAACATGTATATATATATATGTATGTATGCGTATATATATATATATATATGTACATATGTGTATATATATGTATATGTATATATAAATGTGTATATATATATATATGTATGTGGTATGTGTATATATATATGTATGTGTATATATATATGCGTATATATATATATATATATGAATATGTAAATATGTATATTGGAAGTAGATACATGGCACATGCATATATGTATATATATATACATGACTATAGGTAGCTCGTAGGTACTTTGAGGGAGTATGTGTGCTACATAGGTCGCTTAAAAGGTAGCATGTACCTAGTAAATGCGAGGCTGGTACGAGTAGTCAGAATCGCTGCAAAGACCTAGCAAATACGAGGCTGGCTGGACCTCAGAAATGCTGCCAATAGCTTGCAAATAGAAGGGAAGGGGGTGTTACCTGGGGACCCATACCATTGGTGGGGGGGTAGGAACACGGAACACGAGACCATATATACGTATAATCATATACCCTCTGGTGATTTAACATAGCTATTGAAAATGGCCCATTTAGTTCGTTAATTTACCGAACTTAAAGATTGTGACTTTCCATAGTTTTTGGTATGTCTACCACAGGGTAATTATATACATATGATATATGATACATCCCTTTATGGTGCAGCAAGTCTATGGCAAGAAATTTCTAGATGAGTTTGCTCAACATATCCGATAGAAACGAGCATTGAATACACCAAAAAGAGACAAGTATAATAAATCACCATATATATTAGTCAAATAATAAATCACCAATAATGAGTGTTTATAAACCATCAATTAGTGTTTAATCACCAGTAATTAGTCAGTTTATCCTATTAAACCACCATTAAATATTTTAGTCATGTAATAAATCACCATATTATAGTCAAGTAATACATCATCATTAATTCGTAGGATTTTACTGTTCTATTGTTTTACTTGCCATAAACTGGCCTGTGTTGGTTCCTCGCCTGCACTGGCAGTCGTGGCGACGCTGGTTCCAAAGGTTGAAGCTCAAGGTCTAGGTCAGGCCTCAACGTTGTGGCTGTTGTTTGAACGAAAAATATGGATTTTGCCTGGGAGCAATTGGTCAACGTTAGTAATTAAGTAATTAGTTATAATTAGTTGGTATTTGATTAGATCTGTTTTTTTTTTTTCTATCATATTCTCTTGTAGCCAGGTTCGTAAAATAGCGTCTGAAGATTCGGACAAGACTTAAGGTCAGCCTTCGCTTCAGACCATCGATGGAGTCCTATGCCGATTGGTGGCTCCAAAAAACTTGGTGGAATGATTGTTGAAGTTGATTTTTTTTTAAAAAAAAACTATGGTTTATGGTAGATATAGCTATAACTGGCTATAACTATAGTCATGGGCTTTTAACCAACATTCACATAATGTTTGGGAAAAATCCTGAAGAAAAAAAATGTCAAATCTAACATCCTCTGTTCAAACAGGTGGTTGAGTAGTGGTTAAATGGCTGATGCTTCATTGATTAAATGGCTGATTATTTAACAATTATTTAACAATTAGTTAAGCATTATTCAACCATTAGCTAACCATTATTTAACCATTAATAATTATATCTAGGTAAGTTACAATAGTTCACTAACCTGAATATAAAAAATAGTTTAATAATGGTTAAATAATGGTAATGGTGATTGAACAATGGGAACCATGATATATATTTGATCACGACCGAACCCTGTTCTCCCGAAACCTGTAATCGTCATGGTTTATTTTAGGGAATTCATGATAATCATCCCCATTCACGGCCCAACATTTCAGGTTAGTGAATTATTAGTCCATTTACCCAGATATATGGGGATGTATCAAAACCAATCTTGCTATATTTGGGGGGATGAACATCCATTTACCAGTTATTTGGGGCTCACTAGGGTACCAAGGTTTTGACTCATACCCATATCATAGTTTCCATTGTTTAATGGCCACACAATGGGGATAACTATTCCATTTTTGAAGCGTCTATAATGCAAAAGCACCATTTTGGGACTGAAAATCTCCGGTGGTCACCAAAATGGTGATAGTATACCCTATTATTGCCCTCTGGTTATTCAACGTAGCCATGGAATTCCTCATCATGTTCAATAGGTAAATGATCATGTTTATCATCTATAAACGGGTCATTTTCCATAGCTATGTTAAATAACCAGAGGGTAACTATTATTGATACTACACAATAATGATTATCACATGTTCTCACCCAAGGTCACTCTCAAAAAAAGGTCACTCCTTCGGAGCTTGGAGCTTGGTGATGTCATCTTGACACATGAGCAGAGTTCAACATTAAACCACTAAGTATCCACTGAAGTTCGGTAATTGCTATGCTTCGGAGCCCTTACACCCGCTAATGAATGATATTAAAAGGGATATTTTTGGAACATCACCATTAAAATTAATGGCTGAATCGAAGTAAATGGGCCATGGCTGAAACGAAGCTATGTTAAGCTACCATGGCTGCCAGAGGTTGTGCCCAGATATGATGATTTCGATTTCCCCATTTTTTGAGGCCCAGTTCGGGGATTTTTCTTGTTCAACACCACCCCCCCGGTTTTTTTTGGGCCCGGGCAACTCGTCCGTGCGCATGATGCGTCGCCCTAATAGGGAGTTGCCAGCCAAAGCTGCTACTCCGCCTGAGAGATTGATGATTTTGTTTTTTTGTTTGTTCGTTCGTTCGTTCGTTCCTTTGTTTGTTTGTTTGTTTGTGTGTGTGTGTTTTTCATATGCTTAACTCAATTCAGAAACAATGATTCTTGCTCGCAAATCTAGATGTCCCTTGTTACAGTAGATCTTGTTAGTATATATATATATATGTCCCTTGGGTACGCAAAGCATCTTGAAATATGTACCCCATCACCAGATAGCAAGGTACCGAAGGGATCCGAGGGGAACAACTGAATGAACAGGTCTGGGAAACCGGAACCAAAATGAACCATGTGTGGGCGCCGGAACCCGAAATTCTGATAAATGTGGTCCTTTACAGGCATCAACATGAATCAAACAGTTTTTGATTCAAGATGAACCCTGATTTTGGTTACAAAGGACGGAAAAGTACGGAGAAACTGAAATAGGATTGAAATAGGCTTGCCACTCGGCCCATCGTCTTGTCCCCAAGTCTGGTTTGCTTTGACAACAAAAAGGCAGTTCTGTGTCACAGTCATGACAAACTCCCAATCGCGCAAGTAGAAAACCGTCGAGGATTGTACATATTAAATCACATTAATATAAAAGTGCAACGACAAGGTGCGTGAGACCCATTCAAAAAAAGAATGCTTAGTCGGCATGCTGAAATCTTGTTCGAAAAGGAACTTTTATCCCCATGTTATCCCATTTTCATGGTAAAAGACGTTTGAAATCTAAACATTGAAATGAACATGGGGTATATAATATGTATATATTAATATATTATATTATATTATTCCATAGATATTAATAGCCTTAAAAGTTCCTTTTCTTTGTTTCTGGGATGGGATCCATGGCATGGGATCCATCCCGCCGGTCGTACCTACGAGGTGCACAACACCGCTACCAGCGCAGTCGTGATACCGCACCTCCTGGGACCATCCCATCGGAACGAAACGCATGGAACGACGCATGGCGAGAAGAAAAACCATGGGATACCCTCTGGTTATGTCAACAGTTTGCTATTGAAAATGGTTCATGTATAGTGGAATTACCCATTAAAAATAGTGATTTTCCATTGTTTTTTGTATGTTTACCAGAGGGCACCATGGGACCATGGGACCAATATGCAGCTCTGTGAGTTGACCAAGTCTCCAATCTTGCTTCGATGGCTGTGAGAAGTTTTCAGAAGCGAAAACTAAGAATATCAAGGCATCACACATCATTGAGGGGCTAGAACATATATTGTAGATATATACAGTAATGATATACTGGTTGGTGGTTTTAACCTACCCCTCTGAAAAATATATAAAAATATGACTTCGTCAGTTGGGATTATGACATTCCCAACTGAACGGAAAAATAATCCAAATGTTCCAAACCACCAACCAGTAATTAAATGATGGCATGGAAATTGAAAAATACCATAAAAAATACCGTAAAATACTCCAAGAACATGTGGCCACTGATGAAAGCTCTTTGTTCGCCAGAAAACAATCCATTAAGATGCCATGATGTCCGATGACATGTTGAGGAAGATTCTCCATGTATATCTATGGCAATCAAATGCAATTCAAATATATTCACAAACCTTCTATTTATATATATCTATTAATATATATATATATATACACTTAATATAATATATATATATATATTATAATATATATATATATATATTATATATAATATAATAATATAATATAATAATATAATATAATAATATATATATATTGTATAACCATGTTGTATGTACTCATTCCAGATACTTCCCGCCAACAATAAGATTGGTGAAGGTCACGCCTGATGCACGGCATTCACGAAGAAAGGACGCAGAAGACCTGGACGATTCAGTCGTGTCTAGCAGAGATTCAGCTGGTGATGCTACAGGATGAGGCCCCAGTTCGTTAGCTAAGTTGGTACAAATAACATCAAATAACTAACCATAGTGTATGGTACGCAAATAACATCAAATAACTATATTTGGATGGGGTTTTCTCAACCAACTTATAACATCTTATACGGCCCCATCCTATGGGGAACAACCCAAAATGACGATTTTTTTCATACGATTTCACGATCAAAAATGATGGTATGATGGGGATATATTGGAATATCATGTGCTTACCCATTGGAATATTCCCCTCTGATCAACAGATTGCTGACTGGAAGCCATGGCCCGTTTAGTTCGATAACTTAGCCATTTTTTCATGGTGATGCTCCATAGCCATGTTAGATTACCAGCAGGTAATCCACAAGTTAATGCATGTACATCACCATTTTATAAAAGAAACCAGCCACATGAAACTGGTTGGTGGTATACCTACCCCTCTGAAAAATATGAGTTCGTGAGTTGGGATGATGAAATTCCCAACTGAATGGAAAGTCATAAAATTCATGTTCCAAACCACCAACGAGGAAAGTGTATAGACCAAGAATAGGTATGGTGATATCAACATCGCCACAGCTGGAGAATCAACTATGGCGATGGCAATGTTCTGAAGCATTTCTGGGTGGAAAAAGATGGAAAAATCATCTGTAAATGGACATGATAACTGGATGTTAACTGGATGTTTCCCAATATTGCTGGAGCACTGGAGCACATAACTCTAAAACCCAACATCAGAAGGACAAACCCGTGAAAGCCAACATCGGTTAGACGACCAACTCCTTGGTACTTTGCCACAGATCTGTCGGTACTTTTGCCACTGTGTCAATGAGGGCAAAACATCATCGCACACGTGTGGATGGATGTAAGAATTTCTGGTTAAATCAGAAAGAAACGTTTTTCAAAGCTTGGAGGTCCTGAAAAAAGTGTGCATGGCAATCTGACATGGCAAAAGAAGTTCAGAGAATTACCCAATGTTCGTAGATAATTTTAGTGGGAACTTCCAGCAAACCCCAAATGACAAGTCCAATCAATCTCTGACGTGAAATTTCAAGAGGCCCATCCTGTACAACAGAGCATGCTTGAGGTTATACCACCAGGTTGAATCTGGCTAAAACAATATCATAATCACCACCCAATATGGGCATCCTTTATCAACCAATTATTCATGTTCATGAAAAATCCTCAATCGCAAATGCTCATCACAACAGCCCCTGGATCCACAGGCTGCTGGGGGTGTTCAAATCCCTGCCTCTTTAGCCTCTTGGAATGTCTAGGGCAAACTTATAAGCGGTTTATCATCCCTATCCATAGACAGTAATCTTTATGTCTCTGTCATCTATGGTTGATGTAAATACACCCACAAACGCCCTGCGAGTTTATATCATCTTCATATCAACCATGGTCATGATCATTTCATATCTGTCATATTTTTCTTAGCCCTGCTTGCCTCCAGTAATGAACAGAAAAATATGGAAGCACCAACATTTCTGGATCATGTTCGTAACATTTTCCCGTGGATTGTCCATATCTATGCTGCTTGCATTATACCGACACTGTATCCCCACTATCTCCAGTATACCCGCATTATACTATAACCCCATTGGTCAATATGCATATGAATATTGAATTTTAACGCGATCAGCGTGTTTCAAATAGATATGCACCTGTAATTATATATACCTTCTGGCAATTTGACATGAACACCGTTTTTCAGCGGTAAATTATCGATGTGTTTAAACATGTTTAAACGGTCATTTTCTGCAAACTGGTAGTGTGGAGGATATATCCATTGTCCATCTGAACAATGTTCAAAATCCGAAATGATGTCCCTAAAAATACTGGTTTTCCGAAAGGAATTCCCATGGGATTTCTCATAATGAAATCTGAGCATCTGCAATAGTCATTTGATAGCATAATCCCACATAGTCATCAACCATTTATGATGTCTCACCTATTATACCTATATTCCCATCTTTTGATGGTTAAATCCCATTTAAAAACAAATCCCTGCGAATGATGCTTGAAAGCATCAAGAGCTTTTGAACCTCCCCTGGCACTGCCCGCAGAACGGAACAACTCGGAACTTTCAAAGGCCATTTCAGGAACCCAAATTGGAGGTACCTACCATATATATATATATATATCCTATTTTTTAGGGCTAAATTTCAGGGGATATACCCCCAAGTTCTATGGCCAAAAATATGGCACTGGCTTTTTGTACCTCCATTATCCCATTTTCACATCCCATTACCATCCCATTGATTCATATCCCATGAATACCCCATGAATTTTCCATCAGTAGCTCCATGAATTAGGATCCTGGAATTGATTCCGATTCCTCCTGTTTGCTTACTGTACTATAATTATAGTTATCCCATATGATCCCTGTATTATCCCATATTATCCTTAATTACCCCCATGAATTACAGTTACCATAATAGTTATCCCATTATTATCCCATATTATCCTTAGTTACTGTACTATAATTATCTGGTTGGTGGTTTTAACCATATTGAAAAATATTAGTCAATGGGAAGGATTATCCCATATAGAAAATAGAAAATGTTTAAAACCACCAACCAGTTATAGTTACCCCCCATTACCCTCTGGTAAACTAACATAGCTATTGAAAATGGCCATTTATAGTGGATTTTCCCATTAAAAATGGTGATTTTCCATAGCTATGTTAAATTACCAGAGGGTACCCCCCATTAAAATTTAGGATCCTGAAGATCTCCCAAACTTCAGTCGGCACCTCCTGAACCCCAGACTGCTTCAGCTACGGGCGGGAAGATCAAACCAGCCATCAGAGCTGCATGGGTCAGGTATCCTTAGCAGGCTGCGTGCGATCTGTTGGGAAAACGTTGTTGAGAAAACGTTAAGACAAGAACAGATTATCATATATTTTTTGAAATCAAATGAATTCAAATGAGGTTTTTTCCAGTTTCATTGATGTTAGGGATGGATTTTGGAAATATGTTGAAGATATTGGAGATGAAATATGAAAAAATACGGATGCACAACTTGATATAACTTTGCGATCTCCATCATTCACCAAGGTGAAACCAGATTATCATGGGATAGGTGCCTACAATCTATCCAGCATTTCAACATATTTCACAAGTGATGTTACGGTGAGCTTGTTCCAAACATCCAAACAAATGGTGTCACGCTGAGGAAACTCATGGTGTATCCACAGCTGGATTTGGTAAAGCTAAGCACATACGCAAATTACAATGTGGTGCCCTGTCAGTTTTGTTTGTTGGTTTCTAAATCCATTAACTAGTTCGATATATCTACCATAAGTCCTAGTTAAATTAGAGTTATGAACCAAGTTGACTATCTTAGGGGCACCACCTTGTAGAAATATTTAAAATCATTGCGCGGTGTCTACAGTACATTCGATCTGGTGTAACAATTGGACTCACAACGTTGTTGAGATCGGCTATATCCTATGCAATTTTTCCTCCTGGCTATATCTTCATGTATGGTTTTGCTGGATGTGTTCCCTTTAAGTAATCCCATCTTCGCTGGCTTAGCTTACGCAAATGCATTTTTTTATTAATTACTAATGTTAGATACCGACCCCCAAAAAAACATCAAGTTTGGTTGGTGAGCCATGTAATTGTGGCAAACAACTTGCGAATAACTAAGCAATTAGCTACCAATTGCCCCGGGTTGACCCTCTCTTTGTTATTGAGCCATGATTGGTTTCTATCGGCTGTCCATATCTTTCTTTTGCTGGCCATGGCACGGCCAATCTTGGATACGATGCAAAACAACACATTTCTTTGAGCTGGTGGGGATTCATATGAGTTCATATCCCCAATAAAGGTACCCATTGAATCATATCCATAATAAAAAGTGATATCTCTGACTGTGTATATGTGTATGTATATATATATATATGTATACTGTATAAAGTATATAGATATACCTGATATACCCAGGTAGAAACTGATACTTCGTACCTTTAACTTGATTATGCCAGGGCACCGATGATGTGCGTGCGCTCTGCCATGGATCCAGAACAAATGGTCACGCAAGTGGCGCAAAACGCCCAGTGGTACAACAAGTCCGAATACCTGTTGCGGGATGTGCATTTCAGGGCACAGAAAAAATCTCATGGCTGATATGGACGTCCGCTGGTGTTAGTGTTAACAAAAAAGGGATCATATAATATCATATAAGAATACACTATACATATCTACGCATTTTAATTGGCTGTACATTAACAGTCCATGGGATATTCGTAGAGTATGATCTCGGCCCCAAATGGCCTGCTGAAAGCAAGGTCCGAAAAATCTGGGGCTCTTGAGTCGCCTTCCGTCAATTCTCCAACGGGATTGTCCCAAAATCTAGCGACCAGGTGACCAGCCAAACCGAAAAGGGTCATCAAAATCCATCCAAATCCTCTGTTATCCTAAAAATAACCCTAGGCATGTAGTCACTGTAGTCGCTGGATGGATATCTTGTAAGCAGCACAATTTACGGCACAACTGCGATTTGTCCCATGCTGATACGGATTATATAATAGGGTAGATATTTCTTTTGTTTTCCAATGCTCGCATTTATTGATCTTATATACCCTCTATTGTAAGTACAAGTGACTGCCCAATAATGTCACTGTGATATCACTGTGTATAATGCACGCATGTTTGAGAGTTTTTGAAGGGTACAGTAGTGGGTAATGACCAAGAGCATAAAACCAAGAATAGGAGTGTCACCAACAATGCGCATGTGGGGAATGGGGGTTGAGGATGGCATCCTATACCTGGTGGGCACTGTGCCCTAGATGGTGTTTCCACATCACCTTTTGTAGATATGACAGTAATTACCAACAAAGGTTGGTCTTTGAACTAATTCCATAATCCAGGTGGTAATAGAAACTACTTGTCGGCGTGACAGGACCAGACTTGAACAAACACAATGAGTGCCATGCAATTGCAAACCATGGCGACAGATTGAAAGACTTTACCAATACTGCAGAAGTCGTAATCATATGCCTGAAATGTGTATAAATATAAGTATATATACTTACATCAATGTATATGATATTATATATACACATAGTTATATCTATTGATCATGCCATAATTCAATCATATATCATATATATATATATATGCTGCATAATATTATATTATAATATATTATAATATGTATACACTCATATCACCCCAAGCGCCAGGTGGCATGGTCTCTTTGTTGGCGTCCAAGACCAGGCTGGATTCCCAGAAGTTCTCTCGGGTGGCGATGGCAAAGACCAGACAACTCATCGCCGAGTCCATGACATTCTTCGCCAAGACCTTTACGGTGAACTCGTTAAGGGCACCCGCTTGAAAGAACGGTAGACCCCAACAAATGCTTCCAGGGAAAATGGTGAAGGTTGTTGTTTGAGGTGAAACAACACTGAAAAATAAGGATTCAATGACTAAGTGTATGTTGATGTAATGACACACTGTAGTTTACATAGGAAAAATGTATGTGAGAATCAATGATTTCTGGTATAGTTTGGACCATTGCGCATCTGGCGGGCGGTTTTGAGATGGGGGCCATCATACATGTGAAATGAACTTTGAAGAAATATTTGAAATTGTAAACCATGCTTGATTTCACACCCGCAAAAAAACACTGCGTCAAAATTCTAGCCCGACCGACAAGTGTTTGGTATTGCAACTCTTCAACCATACTACATGGTGATATCATGTGATACCACTTTCAAAGCACACCACATGACTCAAACGTGCAGGCTCCTTGCCCTAGAAAATGAGGTCCCCCTTGATTGCCAGCAACCCTTTGAAGGATCAGTCAGATTTGGCGTCGGTCTCAACGTGGAGGACTCAAGGTCCAAACGGTCCATTTGGAGGTTTCCGTAAATGGGGGGTACCCCCAATAGCTGGTGGATTTATTTCATGGAAAATCCATCTAGAAATGGATGAGAACTGGGGGTAGCTCCAAAAATTAGGAAACCTCCATTTTGAGAAATCTGGTAAATTTAAGGTATTGTTTATAGTTGGGTGTACCACCGTATGTTGGGGATGCAACTCTAAACCCCCAACACATCCCAATACTATAAATATGGATCCATTTGACATCTCCTATATGATAATATCTTAAACATCTTAAACATGATATATCCTGAACTCAGAATGATCCATGTTTAAAGCATCCTATATATATATGTGTGAATCCAGAACCATGACATCATCCCAGTATGAGTGGTTTCTAACCATACCATACCCCCACAACAACAACGCGCGTGATCTCTTCCCATGAAGTTTCTCAATATATAGGGAGTTATTCCCCCACCTTTGCACCAACCTATAGATAGATAGATAGATAGATAGATAGAGAGATGGATAGATAGATATATGTCAACCCCGAGTTACAGATCTATGCGTATAGGCCCATGTATGCGAATCTATATTTATGTCTAGACTTAGATCCATGTGTTGTGATCAATATCTATATGTAAACGTATATTCCACAATTCATGTCAGGTTTGTCCCATGGGTTTGTTCTTTTTTCACTGAAAAAAAATAATTATGTACTTCAAAATCACATGGATAAAAATCACAATGTTCCCTCTTCAAAATGACCACAACTGGAGGATATACAACCCTTTACACATATGGCAGTGTGTCAAAACCTTTTCCTTTTCCCGCCGGCTGAAGGGTCAGACACTGGTGAGACAGGGCCTGGCAGCTCGACGAGGTTTAGGAAGTAGTCCCCATACAAAAGTCAGTGTACTGCGACATAGCAGCATGTACTGATTTCACAGCATTCGTACCCCTTTCGGTGAACTTGCTGTGGACCCCTTCGATTGAAGCTGGAGAAGCTGGCAACAATAGGCACCGTTGCCACGACCGGAAGAGTGATCCAAAAGGCATCCTTGGTTGTACCGTGCATTCATCTGAAACTGATTTGGCGAAGGATTTGATCATAGCGCAAAACCATCCCGCAGCCCTAATAAAATTGTAGTTCTTTTTGTGACCAGAATTCAGGGGCTCGAACTGTTTTGACTTCCGGTTGTAAAAGAAACCCAAATGATTAGTGTGCAGTTGGAAATGTGCATAGAGCTGGTAACTAGACAGCCACATTGGTGTGGCTCCAGTTTCTCTGGTCAGATTCAAAAGCCACTTATAGAGAATCTGAAAACCATTCCCCAGCGCATGTTCAGCTGGCTCGATCAAATCTACTGGTAGCTGAGCAAAACTGACCTTCTCAACCACCTGGGGCTGCTGGGTCTGCATTGCGTCCCAAGCTGTTTCCTCTTTTGCTTTCAGTTCCTCTTTTTCGCCCGTGACCTTGATGCCGATCTCCACCAATAGTCTATGCAGGGCTTGGCATGCCTTGTACCTTGCTTGAGTGGCAAGCTTGAGGCGTTGATGGGCGTGGGCGACCTCAGGGGGCAACAATTGTCTGGCCCGGATGGCCAGGGCATCTGCTGCTTCATTACCTTTGATTGCCCATCTGTCAACAAACTGTGAATATTCTGTGCAGTGCTGGTGTGACGTGATCTTCAGGATCTTCTGAAACAGGCCCTTCCTACGACTGACAGCAAGTGCAGACTGCATTGTTTGCCACAGGTCATGGTCTTTCTGTTTAGGCGTGATTACACTGGTTTCATCCTTAATCAGTGTCATGACACGGTCAAAAACAACCTGGCAATCAGTCCATATGTAAAACGGCCTGTTACTGTGGATGCCAAAGCGTATTGCAGATATCACAGCTGTTATTTCCGCCCGCAAAACTGTTTGCAAGAGGCCTGGGACCCCTCCCGCCTCAACAGGCGGGAATTCCATCTCTGGGAGGGCAGCGACACTAACACCCCAGGTTGCGATCCTGAGGTGTGGGTGGTTTGGGTCTGTGCTGCTGCCGTCTGTGAACAAGTGCAGGGTATCTGGCAAATTTGGGACAACTTCAAAGTCAGAGCTTGTGTCCGGAATCATGGTCAGGGCTTTTTTGAAGGCCAGGTCTTCAGCACTTTCGAGAAACCATCCATGTAACCTGGTACAGTCTGGCTGCTGCATGATGTATGTTTTGATGGCTGGATCCATCTTTTCTCTCTCATTGTGGAAATGCGGACATTCCCAGGTGCGGTGATGCACACTGTCTTCACACTCACACCAAGGACATTGTTTGCTGGTAAACCTTCCACTGGAAAACTGCTTATCACGCGTATAAAAGGAGCCGTTCATGGCTACCCTCAAAAGCCCTTGTTCAACTGGTGTCAGTTTCCTTTGGGTGTGGGTACTGCATGCAACGTCCACATCCGCAAGACCATGAAATTCTTTTCGCTCGGAAAGGTTGTGTCCTACTGAAGTTGCCCAAGCATGGGCCATTCTCTGTTGCAGCAATTGGATTGGTGTGTCTATCACATGCAAGTAGAACCCTTGGTGGTCGATCACATAACCATTGCTGTCCCACCTCCAGTTGAGCTTGTGAAGGCGGTTGAGAAAGACTCCAGACGGACCCGGCAAAAATCGGGCTGGAGGCTGTTGGGTCAGCAAGTCAAGTACCTCGCAGGCTGTCTGGACATTGCTGTATTGTCGGAATTGCGAAACTGTGGTGGAAATTGCATGAAAGTGTGGGTCATTCCTTGGTTCTGTCAGAAGGCCAAACTGAATGCTAGATGAGGAGCCATGTTTTTCCCATCTGAGTGCCTGCATGGCCGATGCTCTCAATGACGTGAAGTGGTCAACCCCAATGTCAACAGCACTGACTCCATGTAAGCATCTTGGCCAGGCAACTGTGTGCAGTATGCGCAGCTTCTTGTATGCGGTGGCATGGCTTCGGCTGAGCCATCCCCACATCGGTTTGGATTGTGTGATCCGTGCCCTAACTGAATAGCTAGTACCACGCTTACTGTAGTTTAAGTGGCCTCCCAGATCTTTTGCGTGCAGCAAGACTGTATGGCCTTTGGTTCTGAGCAACTTTCGGCTGGCAGTGGTGGTCGCCCAGCTGTAGGTCTTTGCCTTGTCAAGTTTGATGTCAAGTGCCCTGGCGAAGTCATCCATGGCCTCCACCGCTTGACAAGTGACTTCTGGCACCGTAGATTGGACTTCCCAGTTATCCACATAGCTGATTACCGCAACAGGGCTGGTTTTTTGGGTAACCAAGGCATGCATAGCACAATTTACCAATACCATGGAAACAACTGACAGAGGGTCTCCCTCAGCAAAGCCCGTGTGGCTCATGATGGCAGGGGAGCAGCTTCCTTGGACTACAAACCTTCTTTGGATGTTGGCCAGGTTGCGCATCCATGCTTTCATGAAGAACTCTGGAATTCCCATGTGGCGCCCCAGGAAGTAAACAACATGCCTTGGCAACGTGTTGAAGCACTTACACACATCTGTGACTGCTCCAGTCCATTCTGTCTGGAAGTACTGCGAGTGCTCAATCTGCTCAGCGAGCGCCCTCCACACCTGGACTGTGGATTGTTGTGGCATGTTTCCCGTGAGACCATGTGGGGCATGTCTATGCAGCCATCTGAGGATCTGTTTAGTCCTAATGGAACTGTAGGTTCTGTAAACCATACTCAACACTGTGATTGGCCTGTATTCGGAAGGAGACGCAGCTGCACTGTGTTTTTCAATGGCTGAGATTAAACCTACCATGCTGGCTTGGGGCCAGTCATAAGCTCCTTGTTCGATCTGATTTACATGGGTGACCAGCTTTTCTATGAAAGGCATGGGCATGTTGAGCAAATCATTTTTGGAAACACCATCAGGTCCAACCGCACTGGTACTTTTCTTCTTTCTCACCGCTCTCACCCATTGTTCTGGTGTCAGCGGGGGCATTTGCATAGCTTCGGCAGGTGCAGGCACCTTGCTTTGGATATCTTTCATGACAGGCTCCCATTGTTCAACACTGGTATCTTTGTGTTTTTGCCACATGGGTTGCCATAGCTCCTCAAAAGCCCGAAAGATGTCACTAAGGTCGCCAACAAGTTTTGGTTGTGTGAGGTTATCACCCTGTTCAAGTGCTTGGGGCCTGGCAAGCTTCAGCACCCCTGGTTGGTGATCCTGGATGTCAAGGGGCCCTTGCTGTGATTTCACAGGCTCCTCAGTGTCGAGTGTGGGTGGCTCATATTTTATGGTTAATCCATCTACGCTGACATCTACAATGTTAGCATTGGTATGAACCACAACCGTACTAACTGGCAAGGAGCGAGGTTTGGCAACATCCCTGAAAATGGCATTGGAGTCAGTCAATCTCCTTTCTTTGGCCTGTTTGCATCTAGCTTGTATGAGCATCTTTTCCAACATGCCAAATTCGACTTGGAAGTCATGGAAGATTGCTTCTACTACCGCTGGTGTCGGGAGTTGCTTGGGGAGCGCAAGAGGGGCCTTTGGTGACCCTCCCGCACGTTGCTTCCACATGGCTGCGAACCCGCCTGGAAATCCTGGGGCAGCCTTGATCGACTGCCAGAGGGCTTCTTTGTCAGCTTGGAGGGCAGGTAGTGGTTTCTTGGATTGCATGAGGCAATGGAGGCTTTGGATCCTTCTGAGCTGTCTGCACCACTTGGTGTGTGTAAACTGTTCCCCAAGGTAGAGAACCTGCACGTCATTCTTCCTGGATGGCTTATTAGGAGTGATGGCATGTTTGCACAGGAATGGCTTTGTGGTTTGGCACCTTCCTTTTTGTTGTGGGATGAGCCCATCCTTTCCATTCCACCGCAAGTGAGCATCAACGGCCTCTTCAAGGCCTGCAAAGATTTGAGTCATACCACCTTGTACCCCACTGAGGTCGAAGTGGGATTGGTGGAACTGTTCGATGTCAACCTCTTCCCATGGGATCATGGCAGGTTTTCTCCACATGGGTATTGGTGGGCTTTGGTTGAACTGCGAAAACTCGGCAACTAGGATGGCATGGTCAGGAAAATAGGTGGGATCAACGTTCACACTGAGCAACATTGGGATCAGTTCAGGTGAGATCCACATGTGGTCTTTCCTAGTCTTGCCATGGCAAGTTGGTTGGACAGTTTGGTTCCACTTCTGCGCAGCAATGTCTTGGATCTCCATGAAACCATGATCTCGCCAAATTGTAAATTGTTCAAGTGCATCAGGGTCATCTTGGTTGAGGTCACCGCAGATTATCCTGAACCCTTTACTTTGGTAGATTATTTTTTCAGTCAAGTTTTCAAGGATTTGGTCAGTGGCTTCTCTGGTGGCCCTGGTGTGTGGCTGCTGGGCAAAACCGTAAGCAACACCAATCTTGATCCATTGTTGCTGAACTCGCACTGCACATGCTTGGATTCTGGCTGAATCCCATGTCTCTTGGTTCCAGTCATTGGCAAGGGCTCTGACTGGCGCTGTGGAAAGGATTCCTACTCCAGTGGATTTACCTCCTACGCATCCAGGGGCTGTAGTGCGTGGTTGGGCTGGTGCGCCCGGCACAAAGTTCCACTGGCTAGCTTGGAACTTGAGTTCTTGTCGGAACTTTCGGATGCCTTCTGTGGTCAAGTGCGTTTCACTCAGTGCCCAGGTCATAGGAACCTGGGGATCGGATGCTTCTTGGAAAAGGTGCCCTTTGTGCATGACACCTGTTGGGTTCGCAATTCCAATCTTTGGGTTGGGCCCAGGGTGAGCCGCTTCTCCTACTCTTGCAACCATCATGAAGATGAATGTAAAGAGAAAATATGCACATCTTCCCCAACTAGAGCTTCGGCTTGGTGCAGAATAACTTCGTCTGGCGGCAGGCTTTGGCTCGGATCGGATGCATTTCTGTACATCGAGTGCATTGGGAACCACTTGGTGTGGTATGCTTGGTGGCTGCAGCTCCTCATGGGGAGGAGCCAGCCTCATTTGTCATTCGGTTCGACTCCTCTTGGTGAGGAGTTGCTCGATCTGCTGCAGCTGCTTGTCCAATTTGTCATCCAGGTGGGTCTGAAAGGCTTTACCTTGTTGGTCTACATTGTGTTGGACCTGGGCAATCTGGTTGGCAAGCTCTTGGACATGCTGTCCTTGCTGGGTATGGTTCGCCTGGACTGTGTGTTCGAGCATGGCCAATCGATCTTCAACTGTTTGAATACGTGTGTGGTCATGTGTGTCCACATCAACGTCCATCTTGGATCCTGTGGTCTGCTGCCAAGTGGATTGCAACTTCCTTTGGACCTTGGCCGCAATAAGGTCGATGTCATCGTGACCTTTGTTGTCGGGAATGCTGATCTTTTTGGCAGCTTTCACCGGAGTGGCATAATTACCCCAAGGGTCGTCGATTTCCCACGGGTCCTGGTCTGGATCGTCCTTGGTGTCTGCGGCCTTCAACACTGCAAGCGTTTTGGCAGAGGCCTGGATGCTTGATTGCGCAGCTGCTTGCTTCTGATGTTTTCGTGGCACCTCAGTGATGAGTACATCAGCATGCTCCAATTGGTACACTTCAAACGGGGGTTTGCAGATTGCCTGGCATTCCCAAACCACACCCTTGCCATCAGGGGTCCTGCTTTTGGGCTGGCAAGGCCTGGCTTGCCACGACCATGATTGGAACAACTTGGTGAGTGCTGTCCTGTTCGATCCATGTGGGATTGGTCCGACATGATATGTTGTGACTTGGTCTGATGTCAGGAAAGGTGTCAATGGCTTGTGTTGTTCGTGCACCTTCTGGGCATCGTGAGCGGCAACACGGAGTCCAAAACGGTTACCAGACCTGACAGTGCATGTCCACTGAACGGTGCTTTGGGAGGCAATCATGGCACTTTGTTTGTCAGATTTGTTGAGCCAAATGACCCTGTATTCTGTGGCAGGTGTGCGTCCATCTGAGCTACGTGGTTCAACATAGCAGCCTGCAGTTCCTGATCCTTTGAGGGCCTCAGCAACATCTCCTTTCTCCATTCGGAAGGTGGCCATGAAAAGGCTGGCATCTGCTGGTCGGGTGCGTTCCAATTTTTCATTCAGCCATTGTCGATCCCAAACGTCCATGATGCTTGATGTGCCATCACTTTGAGGCTGCAAGATCTTGACTGCAGAGACCATGTGCTTGACAGGCTTGTCGAGGATGTGTTCCCACTTCTTTTCGATTTCATCACGGAACATGATGACCCTGATGACTGAGTTGTGCACTTCCTCAATTTTGATGGTTTGGTCAGGTACTACTCTGCTGACAATGCTCGCACCCAATTGGACCAGCTTGGCCGAGATGAGGATGGGTTCACTGGTCTTTTCGAACCTGGCAGGAAATCTGATCTCCTCCCCTAACCCCTGCATGAGCGGGTCGTGATGGTTCAGGACCAAGAGGGCAAGTCCTTTGCTCGAAACTGGCTGGGCAAACTTCAGGTATGGCACTGCCTGCTTCGCATGAACTACAATGATACCACTTGCCTCTGGGCCAATGTTAGCAACGGTTTTTTGGTGGATTGCATGGCCAGAAGCATCTTGGAAAATTCCATCAGGGATTCCTATATCTTCGGCGTTGAGCTGGATCGGATGCTTTGTCTGCGGTGTTGATTTCTTTTTGGTTTGTTTGGATCCAAACTTCTGTTGTTTGTCGGTACGTGCCTGGATGATCGCTTGCAGTTCACTGGCCAAAACAAGCTGCAGCTTGGGTGAGCACTGGTTTGCAATCTGCTTCAGTTCTCTCCATGGTTGGGCACTTCGAAGTGTCCTGGCCACTGTGGTACGACCTAGCTTGTCACAGATGACATTGGCTCTGTCCTCAGCATGTTCTTTGGGGACTCCATGTTCCATCAAAAGGTTTTGTAATGACATCATGAAATCCCCCCCGGTTGTACCTCCAAAACTCAGCTCTTTTGGGACTACAGTTCGTTTGGCACTGCCTGAGGTGATCAGGTGATGTTCAAAAAGGCCTCTCCAAGCAATTGCAGTGGTGGCATTAACCGGCTTGAATTGGCCCAAATGATGGGTAGGGTCAAACACAAAACTCATGATCCACGCGACACACTGAAAACCACAGTCGTTGGGAAAGCAGGTGTCAATGGCAATTGTATGGATTGAGCAGGTCTCTCCCATTTCTCTGGTGGCAACATGGACCCATGCTTGTCCACCTGGCGTTGTAAACACCTGGATGCTTCCATGGGCAAACTTCATACCGACCGGGAACCAGTGGTGGTGAGCAAAAATGGCAGTGACCAGTGTGCATGGACCATCAGCAACAACCATGGCTTTGGCGAACCAGTCCTTCAGCAACTGGATGAGGTCTTCATCATCAATCCCATCCGGTACAATGGCCAGCGGTGTATGGATGGCTTGACCAGTGGCTGTCAGCATGGACAGGTAGTGATACATTTCATCATCGGCCACATATGCTTCCTGCCTGTACAACAGTGCAAGCCGGGAGAACTTCCGAGGTTCTTTCAATTCAGGTGGCATTGTGATCTCTTCTGAGGTTCTTCCACTGCCATATTTGGCCATTTCTTTCAGGAAAACCTGCTGGAATGGTGTGGTGATGGCGGCTGACTGGATCCTAGTGCCTATGCAGGTGTTGACACAAATCGGCGGCGTCAGGCTACCTAATTTGGCCTCTGCAACTGTGATGGCACCAACTGTTGTGTCAGGCTGCACTTTGATGAATGTGGGCACATCATCGTCTTGGCGGATGATCTGAATGGTGTGTGACTGCATGACAGGTGTATGTAGTGTGCTCAGCTCAGCCTGTTGAACAACTTGCAGCATGTCTTGGGTGAGTCCCTCATGGTCAGTCGGTTCCCTTGCCTCTCTGGTGGGCTTGTTGGAGTGATCACCTGGCAATGGGTCAGTGTCCATGGCATCGTCAACATGTGGTGGCATGCAAGTCTCCATGGCATCATGTGTGACATGTTCTTCATGTGCGTCTTTGTCCATGGCAATGTCATCATGGTTGACCCTGGATGAATCTTTCTCTGGACATGGTCTGCTTCCATGAGTCTCGGCTGGACGCACTGAGTTGAGCTGCTGCACAAACAACGGCATTCCAGCTGGTGTTGGTGGTGATCCATGACCTGCAGGGCCAGCTTTCCCACCCAATCCCGCCTCGACACGATCACTGGGTTCAATCGGATCAGATGGGGCATGGTCAGCACACCCTATGGATCCATGAGTCATGCCCGGACTGGTTTCGGTTGGCACGGATGCGGCTTTGTCGCTCAAAGAGATTTCAGCACTAGGATGTGCATCACTCCTACCAAGTTCTTCCGGAAGGGTTGGCTTGGTTCGACCTTCTGCAACGGCAGTAGGCCCACTGGCATGGTTTTTCACAACATGTTTCCCGGCGGCTTTGGCCTGGGTGGCAGCTGCACTGGTTGGGGTTTTTGCAGACGAGGCAAAGGCTGTAATACCTCCAGTCGGTGGGTGGGGGCTCTGCTTGGAATGCACGCTTGGCATGGCACCTGCATTGGAGATTGCAACATCATGCATACCATCTACAACCCTAGAGGGGTGGGGGGCGGGGCCACCAGTGACAGGGGCACTGGATGGCATGGCCTGCAAACACATGGGAGGGTGGAGTATTTGCGTCTCCTCCGCACTTTTTGTAACAGGTTCTGGGGTCCTGCGCCCTGGCTGTTTTTCTTCCTTCACAAGTTCTTGCGTCTTGACCGCTGGCTGTTCTTTCTCCCCATTGGGATCTTCATTTTGCAGGTTCTTGCGTCCTGACCGCTGGCTGTTTACTTCGTTCTTTTCGGTTTTCTCTGGGGCTGTAATGCTCTGCGGTACTTTGGCAGAGGCAACCCTGGACAGCAAGACATTCCTGACTTCATGGATGTAGGACTGAAAACCTTCTGTCCCATGCACTTGTGGCTGGGTGGCTTCAACTGCTTTGGCCAGTCGGCAAAAGTGATTCCACAAATGCTCTTCCGGCAACCTGACAGGGCGGTTTTGAACCTCGTCACACAAAGCTAGCAAGTGACCGGTGATCCAGCACGATTGCACAGGTGAAGCCATCTGTCCCAGTGCCGCAATGGAGAATCTCATTGGGTGCCACTCATATTCTGGGATACCCCCATGAATCACACACATTTCCCACGGGTGCAAGTGTCTGGTTTTGGGGTAATGGCCTGATGAGGTGTGGAATTCCCCAGCAATACGAACCAAAGCCCCAAACATCCCTTTGGATTGAAGTCTTTCTTCTGACATGGGAAATTGTCTGCATTTGCATGGACATGCAGTCAGCTGGTTGGCCCATCCGTGTAATGCCGTTCTCAGGACAGCATTGTGTCGCACCATGTTTTGTTCGATCCCCCCAAAAGCAGCAAACTTACGGGTTTCATATTGGTCCAGTTCCAACTGCGACATGTGATGGGACGGCCATGCAGGGCAAACAGGGATGATATCTCCTACCACTGGCTGGCGTGAAAGACAAGGCAATGGAGTCAGGTTCAATGGCGGCAATGTTCCATTGGTGAGCATGCACCACCACCTGGTTCGTTTGGTGGGCATCATGGCATCCAATGAAAGTTCAACTTCTGACTGTCGGAATTGAGTGAGTCGGCAGTACTCATGAATAACTGCTCTCACTTCCTTGTCACGACTTGCTTCAACAACACATTCAAGCTGGATTGCAAAGGCACGGAGGAAAAAGGCAGCTCTCAGTGTGCCAATCAGGGACTTGGCACGTGGATCGTTCATACCTGCCTTATCACCTAAGGCTGACCATGGTTGGCAGCTGAATCCACCACTCAGCAAAACTGGGCTACCGTATGCTGCATGCAAATTGGCAACTACCTGAGCGTCATTGATGTCCCCCTGCACCACATTAGAGTGGCCTTGTCGGGTCTGAAAGGCACAATTCGCTTCCTGCAAGTCATTGGTGGCTTTGGTTTCCATGCCGCATGAAACAAAACCCTGTGACATCATTGCAATACCTGAACACACCTCAATGGCTCCTTGGAACATGGCAGTGGTCGGGGTCGGGAGCCCCAATGCAAAACCAGAGCAAGCATCTAAGTGAAAACGTCCATGGTTCACCTGGATCTGGCACTGTAGGAAGCTATAGGCCTGAAGGTTGGTCAGCTGACCCTTAACAGTAAACAGCTGCTTGTTGATTGTCGAACGAAATAGGTGTTTTTTCCCACCAACATCATGGACAATCAAATCCCCTTGTACGTCGACCAGATCATTGGAATTGAGTCCATTCCAATTTGGCTCCAAACAAAGCTTCCCATTGCTAGCCATGCCCCCCCAAGCTTCGGATTGCACTGACCTACCCCTGGAAGGACTTGGGCCGAGGTCTGTGTGTCAAAACCTTGTACCCCTGGTGAACATCAAAATAGCTGGTAAATGGATGTTCATTCCCCTAAAAATGGCATTAATAGGTATTGATCCATACCCATATATATATATATAATAGAGAGGGGCTTGTTGCCAGCGCTGGAAAGTAGGCATCAAATAGGATGTTTTTTATCGGAGGAGGCCTGACCCAGAAAAAAAGAAAAAACACATATTCAGCTGTAAAATGCAAATGCAGTGCTTTAGAACAATGGTAGTCATTAGGTTCAAATGTGGCGAATTCAAAGAAGAAATTCTACAATGGAAGAGAAAACAGGATATATCTCCACTTTGAAGCATTAGGTGCAACAGAATATGTATGTAATATAAAATGCAAAAAATACAGTGGATAAGTTCAGGTCATGTACTTCTCATAAACAATAGTTATCCTTCTTTTTGTGTGGCAAACATCATGAAAATTGGATATATATATATATTGTTTTGAAACCTAGGGATACACTACTGTCATGTTTCCATATAATTGTGGTACAATACCACATTCTTTTGAAAATAATGAGTCGTCTTTGAAACACAACCTTAATTCATCTACAAGGCCTATTTCAGTTAGAAAATTAAGGAAACTCCCTGGTGTTTTCAAACAGGTGTGGAAGTACATAACAATGTTGAATGAGTTTGAGCTGCGCAGCGCAGCAGTTGACCAAAGAAAATGCAACACAGTGAGCTAAAGGCAAATTTGCAAACAATATCAGGCAATGCAGTTGTTTTCACTTGTTTTCATGGCCCAAAGAGAAATATCTGTATATAGTCTATGAAGTTGTATGCCGGTGCTACATTCCCAGCAAACAATGCTTTGAAGAAATGGAGTTCCTCAAAGAAGTGTAATTTTCCTTACGAAGCATCCATTTCAACCAAAAAATTGTTGTTATTTACAAACTGGTGGTTGCTTTTGAGCTAGTCAAATGTTTTTTCAGGAAGATCTTTTTGTGAAGATTGGATTGTTTTAAGAACAATATGTGTTGTCTACGATGTGTCTTGTGTTCTAAAATGCAATATTCCTGTCTTTCCCTTATCATGGTAACATTCCTTCAGGCAGATGCTGTTTTCTTCAAAGATTGAATACTTAACTTGAAGTTGCAATCGTATTTAAACAATTTAGTTTAAATAACAGAAACAATATTGTGTCAAAATATGCACTGTCTCCTTTAAAGATGTAACATTTCTCTCAAAGAAGCTCAGCTGGCGTTTATGTTTGAAAGTAGCACCATTTCCTAAAAACATGTAACACTCCTTTCAAAGAAACCCAGCTGCCATCTGTTTGGAAGGAACAACATTGTTTGAAGGAAAGGTTTTACTCACCAAAATTGAATCAGCTGCATCTTTTGAAAGTTACACCATGGTTTGAAAACATGTAACGATCCTTTCAATCACACCATTTCTATCCATTTCTGTGTAAATATGTAACACTCCTGTCAAAGAACTCCAGCTGCGCTCTCCTGGGACAGGAACACCATTTATTTGAAGGAACGGTTTCCTTCACCAAAAACATAATTCTACATCCCCAAAGTTAGGCTTCACACCTGAAAAAAAAATTGCACATCCCCAAGGAACACTGCGCATGTTTAGCACACACGATTTGTTTAAGTAATGACTTCACAAGAATGCCTTGCGGGCAAGATGAATCAGATTTGGTTTGGATTGATCTGGGGTAATCCTAAGGAATCAAAAAACCAAAGAAACAAACCCAAAAAAAAAACATAAACAATGTTTTCCAGACTAGTCTGAACATGCCTAGATCCAAGTAGTCCCCAATACATTTTTTTTTGTTTTTTTTGTTTTTGTTTTGTTTTTTTGTTTTTGTTGTTGTGTTTTTCTGGTTTTGGGTGATTAACCACTCTAAACTCTGTTTCCACTAGAAAAGGCTTGTGTATGGACAGCAAAAGGCCAATACTGTTTTAGATCAATGTAATGTAATGAATGTATTTGGGGAAACAAATTGCCTTTTGCGCGCCCACAACAAGCCTGTCGTATTTCTGATAGAAAAGGCTTCTGAATGGACAACAAAAAACATAAGATAATGTAATATATCGACAAAAAACAATGAATCTATACAAACAATTGGTGATTTCAGCGCTGGCAACAAACGTTTCTGATATAATATTATTATGTATCCCATTAAAAAAAATCCCGTTGTATCCCCATTTATAGAAACCATTGTGCATCCCCATAAGTAAATACGACAATATATAATAATATATAATAACATATAATGACATATAATAACATATAATAATATATAATAACATATAATAACATATATATGTGTGTGTGTTCCGATTAAATGATAATAGCTAATAATGACATAACATAACATAATAGTACATATAGAAACATATATATAATACATATGTATTATGGTATTCCATGAAATAAACATATGTACATTCTGTATGATGTTATACATTATGTAAAATAACGTATATGTACATATATATATATATATATTCCCATGAAATTCCGACTGTATCCCATGTGTTGTTTCCATTGTATTGGCTTGTTCGCGCCAAGATGCAGTCATGCGATGTGCTTCTCGAACACTACCAACCTACGGAGAAACCACAAGGAAACAAACAACACACTTTGTTTCAGATAGATCGGTTTTGATTTTAGGTATTTTAAGTACCTATCTTCATTAACTCTATCTTTTGAGGGTTTGTTTAAGTAATTGAATTATCTATCTTCACAAAAAATGATCCTTCGGTGGATTACCTACTACCACATAATGCATAAAAGATTTCCGACCCTAAACAAACATGCTAGAAAAAAAACAGATGTACAATTTTGGAGAGGAGCATCATCTATCAATGGTAATGGGGACGTGTCACCATTTGCCTGGTTCGGAGAAGAAAAGTCATCACTTTTGCAACCAGAAATGGCTGTGCATCAAAATCCTCATCATTACCGTGGTGAACATAACATATAGTTGGTAATTGGATGTGTTTTCTTAACAATAAATAAATAGATTTTGAACCACATAAAGAAAATCCATGGGAAATCCCATTCTATAACGAACCAATGGTTCATTAATGTGGTAAACCCAATGCCATAAACCTCCGAGCATGGAGGGTTTCAATCCCACCCATTTCTGGTGAAATTAGGGATTGTTTATGGCATTGGGTCTACCAGATTGATATTTTTGATTTCAGTTTTGATGTGTTCCCATTTAGGGGAAATTCCAAAGTGTGTAACAAACCAATTAATGTATATATATATATTCATCCTGGACTAGATAGAATATGGGATTATGAGCTAAAAAACGTAACTAAAATGGGAATGTGTTTGACAATTCCATATTCTATCTACTTCAAGATGCATATTGGATGTATGTATACTTATATTGAGATTTCCCAAAATGGTGGTACACTCAAATCATCCATTTATAGATGGATTTTCCATCAGAAACCAATCATTTTTTGGGGATCACCATTTATGGAAACCCCCATGCATATAAATATATATACGTGTTTTCCATCAAAATAAACCAATGATAATAACAAACCCTAATCATAGTATCCGTGGGGCCCGGAAAACGCACCGAACCACATACACGACCACCCTCCCATGGAGGCCTCGATCATGGCGAAGCCCAATTGCATGGAGATCACCAAAAAGGTACACAACATGAGCCTCGGATTAAAGGTGGAGAAGGGGCCCGAGGTTTTTGGTGGCGTAGAACTAGGTGAAGTGTTTAACCAAAAAGTTTAACTAAGGTTGGTACATGTATATAATGAATAAATATATATATATACACATGCCATATACATATAGATACAGATATGGCTAAGTTGGTCACGCCCAATGGTCGAAAACTGGCAGAAATTCCAGACAACCTTCTTTCATTACTAGAGGGTAGGAGAAGGCGTTGTGGAAACAACCAGTGCTAACAAAATGATATCTAAGTGGGGCATAATGGAGGCTACCCTCTGGTAAATTGACGTAGCTAGTGGAAATGGCCATTGAGTTCGTTGATTTACGTATCAAAAAATTGTGTTTTTCTATAGTTATTTTGGTAAGCTACTGTGGATGGAAGAAATCCTGCACCAGTTGATAGATTGTTTTTCCCACTATTTAAAGGGTTTCAACCATCCAAGGTGATGCAGGATTTCTTTCATCCACCGTATGGGATTAGCCCTTTGGGAACATAGCTAACTAGGGAAGATTCACCACTCACCAGTACTGGGACGATCTTCCAGGGGATGGCCTTCCGGAGCAATATACGGCCAATTTCCATCACCAAACGAACAGTTAAAAAGGCCAGCGTCTCTGGCAATAAATCGACGAATAATATATACAAATATAAAACATGTAAAAAAAATAATATAAGTTGTTAAAAAAAATATATTATAATATAATATAATATAATATAGTATAATAGAAAAATAATGTAATATAATCTAGTATAATAGAATAGAATAAAATAACATATATATATCAGTACAATAGAAAATAAATAATAAAATATAATAGAATATAAAATAATGTAAAAAATAACATAATTTAATATATAGTAAAAAAGCATATAATATAATATAACATAATAAAATAAAATACAATATAATACAATATAATAT